CTTTATACCTAACACAATAGTGTTCCTTTAATGTTAATGGATATTTGTTGGGTTATTACATGTTGGGCTATTCCCTCAGCTCCAAAAATATCAGTTCAGGTAGGTGGGATAATTCACCAGACCCCCCATTTAATATTCAGGTATATTAAAAACAATTCTGACCTACTTTCGTTCTTTCACATTACTTGTACCCTCAAAAAAAAATTTTTTTAGGTTACATTTAATTATCATTGATAATCCTTTTGCCAAAAAAACACACACTGGAAATTACACTCAGAAGTCAGCAAACTGTTTGTTTTTGCTGATTTCTGGAGAAGTTGGATTGGATAAGCTTTTCAAATAATTTAATATTTTTGGATAAACATTTTAAATGATCTTTTTCAAAATATTAACAGATCAGTAAGTATATTACAATATTAAAATATTTTCTAAATATTCAATCAGCTGATGCCCAATCAATGCATCTCTGTGAGGAACTTTCAGGACCGTCATGCAGAGTATGGAAACACTAAACTACAATGATGCAGATTATGTAGGACTGACCCAGGAAGCACCTCTAGTGGCCGTCTGTGTGATCCATACTAAGTTTATCTTCATGCACTTCGGTGTTCATTTATTGATATACTTTTAAAAACCGAATCAAATATCATTTATCAAACAATGTGCAGCTGTGACTCCTACATACACAGCCTACAGTGAAGTGCATAGGAGAAAAATAATATTTTTAGGCTAAGCATTGAATTGAAATAATATTTTATGAAATATGTAACATTTTGATTAGGGAATAACAATTCTGTTGTCAGCCATAGTATGGACATATTTATATAAAAAAAAAAAAGTACATACATTTCTATCCATAGATTGTGCAAACGGAATTACTAGCTAATGTAAAGGTATAATTTAAAATATGGTTCCTCCGCTCAATTTTTACTTAGGTTTCAGCATAAGCATGTCATGGACCTGCATGCGAACTGGTGGATGGAGATCAGAAGACTACACCTGCTCTCTGAACCTGCAAGTACAGTGCATGTACTATAGTTGTTGTGATAGTCCTCTGGTAAGCACAACTCTTGTTGCTTAAGGATTATATGGATAAATATGACCAAGAAGTGTCGACTGTATGTGTGGGTTGTGGGGGGGGAGCAGTGGATTGTGCTCATGAGTAGGAGGCAATGGGATGTAGTAGATAGTAGGTGGTGGAATACACTATCCCTGGAGAGGAGATAAGTCGTTAACATCTGCTTATAGTGAACCGGTCATGAAAGTTTTACCTTAATACATGAGTTCCTAAAAGCAACAAATATATAATTTATCAATTGCCAGATTCTATTGCTTTTGGAACTGTTAAAGATCCTGTCGAGTGTTCCAGTGCAATTACCATTTCTGCTTTGTAAGTGAGTAATTCCCATTACTACTTTTCACCAGATTAGCCTATTGGGGAATCTTTCTATAATCGGAGCACGATGAAAGAGAGCAGGACATACCCTTAAGTGGCTCTGCAACCTCAAGCTTACTTTTCTCCTATTGTTTCTTCTCTTCCTCTTTCAGAATTTGTTCTTTTCTGTTCTATTTCCCTTTAAAAGGCAAAGTAGGAACTATTTTCTCTCATGTATTTTTCCTACGCCTGACATATCTTCACTCTGGATGAAGCTTAAAGTAACTTTATCACCTCGTACTTACTAGAAATATGCAATTTGTTTCTGTCCGAATGTTAATTCGGACAAATTTCTGGTAATTCGGACATTCGGGTACTTCCGAATGTCTGTATAGATGAATTTCCGAATGGTTGAAGTTCCGAAATTACCGGAATACCGAGGTGCCGAAGCACAGTATTGCCTAAGAACTAATATACTTACCCAGTGGAAGAATGAAGAATGTTACAATGTATACAATTTTAAATAAAAAGTATACAAACATAGCCAGGATTCAGCTGTAAGCATTTGCAACACTTCATATAAAATGTAAGTTACTTAGCCAGTCAATGTAATAACAGGAATGAATAAGTAGATAACTCCCTAATTCCCACGGTATTAGGGAGCTATCTACTAAAAGGCTGAAAGACCTAAATTGGTCTTTCAGTCACATTTACTAATACTAAGTAATAAATTCTGCCCCTACTCGCTATACCACGAGTAGGGGCATGTCTATTAAACAGTGAGCAGCCTATGGCTGCTCACTTTAAAAAAAAAAAAAGGCTCCCCCCTCCCGAGCGGTGGGGGCTTCTAACCTGAAGGGGGGACCTATAGGTAAGTCTCTACATTTACCTGTCACAGCACTCTGATTGGTTGACTTAAACCCACCAATCAGAGTGCTCTGAGTCTAATTGCAGGGCGCGGCAAGGCTTTATAGGCCTTCTCTTGCCCTGCAGAGCTCAGTCTGCGCGGAGCCCTCCATGGGTGAAGATGGATTTTTTTTTCTTTGCGCTTTTTTTTTACTTAGTATTAGTAAATTTGGCGGAAGACCAATTTAGGTCTTTCAGCCTTTTGGTAGATAACTCCCTAATACCGTGGGAATTAGGGAGTTATCTACTAAGCGGCTGCAGTAGAAGTGCCGAAGTCCCGAATTTCGGTGTGCCGAACCGAACCGAAAATTTTCCCCATGCACATGCCTAGTACTTACCGCCTATTGTTTCCTCTTCTCTTCCTATTGTTTCTTCTTTTCTTTTCTTCAAGGAACACTAAATGATCACAAATGCAAACATGTATTCTTTACTATAGTGTTAAAATCAATATTTAGGTCGCCAGCCTCCCTTGACGCCCTTAAATAAGTAGTTTACTTACCTTCATTCTGGCGCCGTGTGGGTCAGTCGCTGCTGGCTACAACACTGCTGAGATCTTTACAACTGACAATCTCAGCCAATCCAATGTGTCACTTCAATTTCTAATTTATTTATCTTTAACACATATGACAATGTAGGACCTACTTTGTCTTATGTATATTTCCTACCGTTGTCAAGCTTCACCCTTTGTTAGTTTGAAAAAGAAAATTGAGCTTGCTTTTAGCTCTATGCTTTTGTCACAATTGTCAAAGTAGTCCCCACTTTGCCTTATGTTTTAAACAGAAATAGATCAGAAATGAAGAAAATAATAGATTCTGAAAGAGAAAGAATAGGTTCTACAAATACTTAATTGAGACTAATAATTGGATGGTCTACACATGGGCTTATGTTGTTAATGCTGGCTCTGGTTGTTGAGCTGGATATTAGACTTGTTCACAGATGGAATACAGTTTGCGTCAGAAAATAATAAACTATCTGGCCAAGCTGAATTATAGAAACATAGAAACATAGAATGTGACGGCAGATAAGAACCATTCGGCCCATCTAGTCTGCCCAATTTTCTAAATACTTTCATTAGTCCCTAGCCTTATCTTATAGTTAGGATAGCCTTATGCCTATCCCACGCATGCTTAAACTCCTTTACTGTGTTAACCTCTACCACTTCAGCTGGAAGGCTATTCCATGCATCCACTACCCTCTCAGTAAAGTAATACTTCCTGATATTATTTTTAAACCTTTGTCCCTCTAATTTAAGACTATGTCCTCTTGTTGTGGTAGTTTTTCTTCTTTTAAATATAGTCTCCTCCTTTACTGTGTTGATTCCCTTTATATATTTAAATGTTTCTATCATATCCCCCCTGTCTCGTCTTTCCTCCAAGCTATACAAAAATCATCTTATATATTATTGTAGCATGTGGAGAGGGGGCTAAGTGCCTGAGTAATGAGAATTAGTGGTATTTATAATAGGATGATTATGTCCGTGTTTTGGTTCTTATGAACCAAATTTAATTTGCATACTTTTGTTGCAAACAAAATTTGGACAACCGCTTTAATTTTTCACCAAATCCCCAGAGAGTTAATATGATCACCATATGTGTATGCACTGGCATAAAAGACAATTGCTGCCCAGTCACTATTACAATAAAGGCTACAAAGAAATTATAAATTGGGAAGGGTGGGGAAGGGGGCATAGTGCCCCTAATGCCGCCATGGTTGGTCTCTAAATAATAATGCGGGGGGCATCAGAGGCCTACGGGTAGGGCTATTAAATAAAATTAAATGTAGAGACCTAGTGTCATAAGCGGTGGCTGGATTATAATATTGGATGGAACCTAATGTCCTTTATAAGGACTTTGCCACGCGATACGATTTCAGTCTGACAGGCAAGTCAGTGTGACTTGCCTGATTATTAAATTATCTAATTACAAGGAGGGAGATGGTTGCTCCCTCCTTGTAATTAGACAAATGTACAAAGATCAAGGAAGAATTTTCATCCACGATTACTTGCATACTAATGTAATTGTATAAAATGTATTGGATATTTTGGATATAAGTGCATTTGCTTTGGTTTCATCTGTTGTTGGTTTTATTAAATGTCTTTTGGCTTACAGAGACTTCTTCACATAATCATTATTGGCTCAAACTAAAAGTTAATTTCTAGTCACAGTCCTTTCTTAACCTTTGGAAGCATAAACCCAAGCCATAGGTCGAGTTATATCTTTGAAGAGCTAATAACCACAGCAAAATTATTGTAGCATGTGGAGATGGGGCTAAGTGCCTGAGTAATGAGAATTAGTGGTATTTATAATAGGATGATTGTCATACCATGCATAAGAGATCAAATACAATCAAGAGACCTCCCCATTTCTAGTCATTTCAGTTTAGTTTATAAGAGGGGGCTTAGCCTCCATATAAAATAAGGGTTAGCAGCCATTTATATAGTTCTTTAATTGGGAAAAAAAAAGTACTTATTATTGCTTTCAATGGCCTATCACCGGCCAGCCTGTTAAAACATCTTCATAATGTGGAGGCAGAAAGGAAGTAAGCAGTGGTGTTGGCCACAATTAAGGGCTTAAACCTTTGTAAAATGGTTTAATCTCCGTAGGTAAGGTGGCACTCCTGTCCTCATAACTTAAATAAACTTAAGCTGTTATAGGGTGGGTGTGTTTCTTCAAGAATATAAAAAAAAAAAAAATCATCATATATTTAAAAAAACAAAACACTCTAATGAAAGGTGCTGTGTACACTTGATATTTTCATTGAGAAACCTATATGTATGCTCACATGCAGTGCAATATGCACATTTCTGCACTTGAGTCTCCCCTGACCAATATAGTCAAAAACAGTTTATGTGTAGTCCACTCATTCAAAGGTTCTATTCCTGATGGAGAAGGTTAACTTCATGTGACTAAACATATATGAATATTTATGACATGTTTAGTATAAGAGGATATGTTTATCAGCTTTAGAAAGACACCGTAGGGATGGACTAAATGCAAACGCCCCAAATAAATGAAATTGAATAGAGGCGGACTTGAAACAGAAAACCACACCCCCTGACTAATAGGAGAACAGAAGGGGAGGCGCCAGATACTTAAAAGGATGGGCTGAACACTGTGATGTCGTCGGAAGAAGCCCGGGGAGGCGGGTGAAATGCGTCACACATGATGTCATCGAGAGGTGGTTTCAAGTTGTCACGTGTCCAGAACAGTGCCGAAACCCGGAAGTGACTACAAGCTGCTGCCGGTTGTTTTATATTTCTGCTTGCGGAGTTGTGAATTTATTGCTGACACACCCACCACTTAAGTAAGAGTTTTTAATCTTTTATGTTAATAAATTGTGTTAAAATATTCGATTTGGGGTCCTTGCCTCTCTATCCCTCTTACTGCTCACAAGCAACAAATACATATCTGATGGAATGGAGACATCCTTACTGATATAAGCTGTGGGGAATATCTCTCTCAAGTGGAGCTATTTAAACACAGGGCCAGGTGATAGGGCTCTGGTACATGTGAGTTCTCTCCCAGACACTCACTCCAGGGCCAGATTAACATAGGGGCTGATGGAGCTGCAGCTCCAGGCCCAGGCCCAGGCCCATGGAATAGGCCCATTAAAAAAAAATCTCCATGCCCCCCAGCCAGTGTCCCTAGTGTCTCAGTGTCCCTAGTGTCTTAGTGTCTGTGTCTCCATGTCTCTGTGTCCCTAGTGTCTGTGTCCCTATTTCTCCCACTGTCCCCATTGACTTCCTGCTTCACTGGACACTGCTGTTAGGGGGTATGGATTTACTTGGAAGATTAAAGCATAAATTAGAGAGAGATTAGCATAGAGTGTGTGTTTTTCTTAAAGCTGCATCCTTTGAGTTTCTCTCCAACACCATCTCCATTAGATGCTTGACGCTTGAGAGGTATGACTCAATGGTATGGTTTTAGTGTATATGGTCGATAAGATTTTTGTCATGACTGCTATTATGGTCCAGCACGCAGAACTATGTAAGATCTACATAGACAGAACAGAAAATGATAAAACGTAAACCGGTCCCTAGAATGGCCTGGACTAATACGTTAAAAACAGAGAATGGTCAAGGGAGTCAGAAATATATAATACCATTTAACAAGCCAAGTCAGGGAAGCCAGGAATCAGAATAGTCAGGAATAGCCAGGGTCAAAATACTGGGAATATCAAAAACAGGACAAGAAAACACACTCTCAGGATTCAGGAACGAAAACCACGACCGGGCAATAACCTAGGTTAAATATCCCTCTGGCCTCTGACTGCAGAACGTGTGTGTGTGACCCTGGGGGGCAGAGCTATATCTGGCCACGACTGCGTGTTCGGCACCATCTTGAACCCGGGCAGGCAGCTAGGAGAAAAAAGGGGGTAGGTCAGCGCTAATAATACAATGGTTGGGCAGCAACCTTATAGAGGGTAACGCTCTCACCCTCTATATTTGAAACGTACAAACAAGGAAAAAGAAAGGCTGCGCCAGAATAAAAAGTACAAAAAATATTAAAAAAAAAAGATACAATACAATAAAAGATAATATGTCAGAGGTAGGGTAAACATGGTCACTGTATTTGCTGGCAGTGTGTCTTCTGTATTTCTAGTAGTCCAAAATGTCTCGTGATATGGAAGACACAAGGAGAAAGGACCAATCGTGCAGAGTATAAGGTGAGTAATAAATAAATTAAAATATAAATAAAACACTCACATTTGAATGAGCTATGGCCAGCTCAAGTGTTACAGGCATACAGCGGAATTATCCCCGCTTGTAGGACATGTGGGTCCTCCAGACGGTAGTGATGTCCAATTCTCAAGCAAAGGGAAGAGTAAAAACAGCAAATACTGCTCTCTGATGATGTGACGTAATATAAAATAAAATAGAATAAAATATACTCACAAATGGAGTGCAGAAGTCACTGCACTCTAATAGAAGCGTTGGTGGTATAATCCCCACCTCGGGATAAATGTTAAAAGATGATAAAAAATACCAGGAAAATAATAGTGTGTAATAAGGTAATGGCGCAGAGTTCTAGCCAAAAATGTATTTATTATATAAATTACACAACATTTAAAACCATTAACGCGTTTCACCACTAGGGTTTTATCAAAATGGAATAATATGAGAGCCTGGCAAGTAAAAGATATTTATAGGTACTTTGGAGTTTTAAAAATGGCGCCAAAATAGCATCATTAACCAATCAGAGCAATGTATTGCACTTTTGAAATTAAAATTTACAATTCCATGTCAAATAAGAATATGCATAGAGTAAATATCAAGTACAACAAACAATAATGTTAAAAATAAAACGAGTATTGAAACTTAAAATAGAATTAGTATAAAATTATACAAAATATAACGTGTCACGTGACCCGCACGGCATTATGGGAAATGTAGTGCTGGTCACGTGATCGGCGTCAGCAACTAGTGCTGTATTGCAAGGTGGGAAGGAATCTAATGACCGGGTGCTTATTGGTTTGTGCGGCCGTCCTATTGGTCGGCCGCACACACGTTGGTGATGGCGGGTGCAAGGATCTCACGTGACCCGCCGCAACTAGAACGCGTGGGACACGTGATCGGAAAAGGAAGAAACGAGCGGTGCACAGCCGCATGGGATTAGTAGTCCACATTAGCACACACACACCACAAAATAAATAATACTGGCACAAAATAAGCACAATGGCACAAAATATGGGAATGGGGCATAGGGAAAAGTCACTGGACATAATCAAGCTATAAAAAAGGGCCATATTTACATTGGAAAAAAATAAAATAAAAAGTAATACAAATATATATAAAATATTGTGATACAATATATATAAAATATGCCATAAAATATAATAATACATGATTATAAATATAATATGTATACAAAATATGGAAAAAAGGCATACATAAAATATAAAATATAATAGTAATTAATTATAAATATAATATGTATTAAAAAATATATAGAATGAGAGCATACATAAAAAATAGGGGCTTACATAAAAAGTTAGTACAGCACAAATTGATGAAAATACAAAAATTACAAATGATGGATAAAAAGACTCAAATTACTTAATACAATAAATATAATAAAATTATAAGAAATTGAATAGGTCGAAATCCACATTTAAACCCAGGGGTGCTAAAGTCTGTAAGTGGAATACCCATTCCATTTCTGATCTACCTAAAATGTTTTTTATATTACCACCTCTCCAGGGGACTTTACATTTTTTAATGCCTATGCATTTAAGGAATTTAGGGTCTCGAGTGTGTTTAATAAAATGTTTAGACACAGAGTGATTTGGGTATCCATTTTTTATATTCCGACAGTGTTCTGCTAATCTTGTTCTGAGACACCTGGTAGTCATACCCACATATTGGAGGCCACATGGGCACTCCAATAGGTAGATAACATTAGTGGTATTGCAGCCAATAAATTTTTTTATAATATAGCTCTTGTTAGTTATGTTAGATTTAAAATTAGTCACTTTGGAATGTGTAGAACGATCAGTGCTTTTGCAAACAATACAGCGTTTACATTTGTAGAAACCTATGGCTCCATCTAAAAAGGTGTTATTTATAATTTTAGTTTCTCTAGTATAATTTTTAGTTAAAATAGATCTAAAATTAGGTGCACATCTAAAAACAATTTTAGGTTGTATTGGTAAGATATCTTTAAGAAGATCATCTTGTCTTAGAAGGTGCCAGTGTTTTTTGATTGTTTTTTTTAATAAAACCACTCTTGTTATTGTAATTAAAAATTATTGGGAGAGTAGGTGCTTCTAAAATATTTTTGTCCTTATTAGTTAGAAGGCTTACTCTAGACTGATTTCTCACTATATCTATGGTATTACTCAATTGAGTAGGGGGAATAGTTTTTTTCCATAAATTTTTTCTTTAAAATCAACGATTGTTCATTAAAATCATCAATATGAGAGCAGTTGCGACGTATTCTTAAAAATTGACTCTTAGGTGCACTTTCTAACCAGGGCTTGTAATGGCAGCTAGTCTGGTCAATAGCTGTGTTGGTGCATACTTTTTAAAAAAATGTTTTGGTCCTTTCTCCTTGTGTCTTCCATATCACGAGACGTTTTGGACTACTAGAAATACAGAAGACACACTGCCAGCAAATACAGTGACCAGGTTTACCCTACCTCTGACATTTTATTGGACTTTTTATTAGAAATAACTTTATCTTTTATTGTATTTTTATATTTTTAGTACTTTTTATTCTGGCGCAGCCTTTCTTTTTCCTAGGCAGCTAGGAGAACCTGGCAGAGCGGCTCCCGACTGCCACTGAGCAGCTAAGCTCAGTTCATTGGCGCGTTCGCACCAGTCCGGTGTGACCGCACCTCGCGGCAAGCCGGGGGTCGTGACACTTATGTAATTCGGCCCCATCATAATTGTCAGCACCAGGCCCACTGGGCTCTTAATCTGGCCCTGACTCACTCCTGTGATTTATTACAGATTGCACATGTGAAATACAGTACTTATTGTAGTTGATAGTGCGCTCCGTATTTTGGTATATATGAATATTTATGGAGTTACTAAGTACCCCAAATGTGGGATATAAGGGTATACATTCTACCTATGATACATATTCAGATCATCTTATATACCTAAGAAGAAAGAAGAAGAAAATGGCAACGAGATTATCTTCATATGACAGACAGAAAATAAGGGGGTAACCCTAAATAGTAGAAATTCAAAAGAAAGAGATTCTGTCCCTTTGATAAAAATCTAGAAGATACTTTATTGGTATTATACAAAAGACGTTCCTAAATAGACTGCCTCTCTTGATCTAATGTGATTCTCGTGGGTGTCCAAAATTAGACATGTCCAAAGGACCACCTATAGGTGCTGAGGGCGTATATAGAGGGAGAAAAGGGGATTGTGAGGAAACATTTAACAAAAAATGGTTATACTAGTGAGTGAGGATAAAGGAATATATGTACAGGTTCCAGAGTCTGCATACACTCTAGTAGTGGTAGGGTTCACCGAGTGTGTGGTATAGATAGACACTCCAGTCTCCAATCCTCGAGACCAGCATGAGAACTTAAGGCACCTCGCTGTATCGCCACCTTTGACCAAGGCTGGGACAATATGACCACTATCCTACATAGGAACTGGCCAATTCTCCTACATAACCCAGTGCTAAACAAAATCTTACCAAACCATCCATCGCTAACAGCACGCCGACCGACCAATCTTTATGATCAATTAGTTCATAGCCATTTGACATCGCCTTTACCACCAACCAATTGGCTATCTTCTGTGAAAGGAACGGCCAAATGCGGCCATTGCAAGGCATGCCAATATGTTTTACCTTCAAAAACGGTCGTATCTACACAGACCCAAATCAAAGTTGATACTAATGCTCTGGTGAACTGTAGTACCACACGACTTATCTATTTAATCACGTGCAGCTGCGGTGTCCAATATATAGGCAAAACTTTTCAACAATTCAGACGAAGGATCTTACAGCACATCAACTCTGTTAACAACATGATTTCCCCTACCCCTGTTGCAAGACACATTATCAATTTCCACGAGGGCAAACAGAGAGGCAGTCTATTTAGGAACGTCTTTTGTATAATACCAATAAAGTATCTTCTAGATTTTTATCAAAGGGACAGAATCTCTTTCTTTTGAATCTTATATACCTATACTCACATGTAACAAGAATTAATGAGAATGAGGGAAAATTAAGGTGGAGTCTAACTTCTGCAAGTAAACCCAATAATTCTGCTTGATTGTATTCCCCTCTGTGGTCATATTAATGTGTAATGTGGGTACTTTTTATGCTCTGTATGTCCCCATATGCTGCAGAAATAAGAATAGCTCTAATGTAAAGAAATCTGAATGTCACAATATGCCAATTGGATTAGTCACTATATAAATCACTGTAAATTTTAGATGAGTTTAATAAATAATTAAATTTCTCTCTGGGTATTGAAACTCAAGAGTCTTGGTAAACTATTTTATTTTCTTCCTCTTAAATAGCAACTGTTAGTCATCAAACATTATATTCTACTGTTTGCTTATACTCTATATTTAACAAATATAAGTTTGTAAGGTCTTCATAAAGGTTGAGATAATGAGTGTCTAGAAGGGAAGCAGGAAGATGCAGAAACAGTGGAGGTTAGGTTATGCATTAAAAGTGTTTGTTGTTTTCTGAAAAGTGGTCTAAAGAATTACACATGGGGCAATTATCTTGTAAAATGGTGAAACCAGAGGGCACATTGTGTTGGTGTCTCTACCCCTTTTCTATGTTTGTACTACTTTTCAGAATGCTCACTTTTTATACATAACCCCAGTGTATTTGATTCTCCTCTGCAATGCTGTATATGCCTTGGCTGTGCCAGGACTGCACTGGATTGTAATGTCAATTGCTAAATCCTTACTATATGTTGATCGTAGGCACATACAGTTTTAATTACATTGACTGATAATGATGGCATTGTTAAGTAAAATGCATTATCCAAATGGAATACCCTAGCTGTACTATAACTACAACCCCTATGTAAGTTGAAGTTCTAGTACTACAACATTAAGAATGTTTCATTCAGCTAAGGGTTATGGACTTTTTTTCCATTAATCTTTGTGAGATCCATCTTGATATAAAATAATCCTTGTTAAATAATGTGATAAATCTTCACCACAAGCAACTGGGTATTAGATAACACATTGCACTTGGTAAATAGTTAATGAATGCCATAAAACTTTTCTGTGATGGTAAAGCAATAGTCAAACTGTTAAGATACAATCCTAAGGTACTGTCAATAGGGTTTTTGTCCATAGTACAATAAAGTTATTGAGTGTTGAGCAGTGACGCTAAACACACATGTGGTGTTGTTCTCCTATTACTATGTGCACTTACCCAGTTATGCAGATGGCAACAGGTTATAAACCCAGAAGGGATGCTGGTAACAGATACAGTAGCACTTTCTTTGACAGATTAATGAGAGACAAAGTTCTTGGGACATAAGCGGTTGATGAATGTCAAGGAACCCATTATGATTGAATTGGGTGATACCAGTCATGAGGATGAAGATAAATGTAAGAATGAGGAAGCATGTGCGGAGTTGATTCAATTCTTAGCTGATAAAAGTTCGTCTTTAATCATGAGGAAGGCCAGTGATGATGGAAGAAAGGTGCATTAAATACTGAGAGATTATCATGCAGGTAATGGAAAGCAAATAGTTGGTTTATTTACTGAGCTAATGTCCTTTCAGAAAGGTGTACAGTAAAGTGACGGAGTGTGTTAAATGATGGATGATTCTAATATTTTTGTTACAATTGCAGCAAAAGAGGGCACAGGACCAGAGCATGCTCAAACAGTCAAAAACGAAGGCCACTTACTGTGGTGCAATTACTGTAGTAGCTCGATACTTAGACATGCAGACTGTAGGCCCAAGAAAAGAGATGATATTAAACAAGCAGCTGATAAAGATCAAAACAGTCACTCACATAACTTTAAAATAAGAGATGATAAACTAATACCAACAGGGCTAATAGCTGACACAGGAGCAACATTCCTGATATATAATAAATTTGAAAGGTTTTAAACCAGAGAAATACTTAATTGAGCTTGCAGATGGGAAAAAGGCAGCAGCTGTGGCACTGAAGAGAAGTGACGCATAGATTAGCCTACTTGATAGTAAAGTAAATCGAGTGTTAGCAACCCTAAAGAAATCATGATATATACCTTCATATTCTCAAGACATCTTCTCTGTAGAGGGAGCAATAAGCAATAATGGATCAGATAACTTAAAACAAGGAAGAAGTGAACTCATTGGTAAGAACCGCACCATATTCATAATACACAAATACACTAGACTTAACTACCTACACACTTTTGCTGAAAATGAAGATAACTGTCTTGTATGTTATGATATTCAAATTTGGCAAATAATTCTAGGTCACTGTGTTTACAGAGTGTTATAGAAGGAATGAAGATTAAGGGTTAAATAAAATTTTCACTCAAGGAAGATTTATTTGGTATAGAAGCAGAGAGCCTGTTGCCAGAGCCACAGCAACACTAGCAATGGTGCATACTGTCTTAGCAGGTTGCATAGAACCATAAGCTAAAGAAGGTTTCAAATATGCCATGGTGTTTACTACTCAGACTACTCAGGAGCAGTGTTTGTATACTTCCTTAAAAAAAATAAAAGTGATGAAGCGTTAGCCGCTGCAAAAAATAATTGCCGCAACAGCACCTTGTCATACCTCCTCCGTTATAAATTCATAGTGTTCATACAGCACAGCCTTCACCCTTGCTTAACAATCCTACTTTTCCTCTCTCGTTAGTTCAAGCTCACGCAGTCCCAGTAATCTCTTTAGTACCTTCAACTCTCTTTTTCGCCCACCTCAAGCAACCCCCCAAACTAACCTTTCAGCCGATAGCCTTGCATGCTACTTTACGAAGAAGATTGAACAGCTAAGGAAAGAATTCTCCCCATTTGGCTCCTCCCTCTTGCAACCACACCTGGACTGTACCTTCCCTACCCTACAGGTCTTCTTCCCAGCTACAGAACAGGAGGTGGCTGTGCTTCCCCTTTTGTTCCACCACCTGTCCACTTGATCCAGTAACTTCCCACCATATCAGATCTCTCTCCCCTTATCTTGTAGCATCCTTAACACACATCCTAAACTGCTCTCTTTTATCTGGTGTTGTCCCTGCTCCCCTTAAGCATGCTACGGTCGTACCCATCCTAAAAAGTCATCCCTAGACCCGTCTTCCCCTTCCAACTATTGTCTCAAATACCTGCTTCCTTTTTCCTCAAAGCTTCTAGAAAGACCTGTCTTTATTCGTATGACTCACTTCCTAAATTCCAACTCCCTCCTCAATCCTCTTCAGTCTGGCTTTTGTCCCCTCCACTCAACTAAGACTGTTCTTATTAAAGTTACAAATTATCTAATCACAGCTAAACCCAAAGGCCACTACTCCATACTAATTCTTCTTGACCTCCCTGAAGCCTTTGACACTGTTGATCATGTCCTCCTTCTCCAAACTCTTCAATCCCTTGGTCTCTGTGACACTGTCCTCTCATGATTCTCTTCCTATCTCTCCCAATGTTTGTTCAGTGTCTCCTTTTGCAATGACACCTCCTCCTCTCTTCCTGTCTCAGTTGGAGTCCCCAAGGATCTGTTCTTGGTCTCCTTCTGTTCTCTCTTTATACTGCTTCTCTTGGCAAACTCATTAACTCATTTGGATTCTGTATGCCGACGACACCCAAATATATCTCTCTTCACCTGATCTGTCCCCCATGGTCCTACAATGTGTCACTGCTTGCCTTTCTTCAATTTCTGATTGGATGTCCTCCAGCTTTCTGAAACTCAATCTCTCTAAAACTGAGCTTCTTATTTGTTTCCCTCATAGTGCTGATTCCACTCCTTTACTTTCCCTGCAAGTTAATGGTACTTGCATCAGTCGGTCCTTGCAAGCTCATTGTCTTAGTGTTATCTTTGATCCTGGCATCACCTTTGCGCCTCATTTCCAACTCTAGCTCCTCTTACATTTCTTCACTGATTAATAGATATGCCCCTTCTCGGTCTCTCCGCTCTTCCGGTGACCTTCTCCTGTCCACTGCTCGCACCCTTACTGCTAACTCGCGCTTGCAGGACTTCTCGTGGGTGGCTACCTTAATTTGGAACAGCCTGCCTACCCCCATCAGACTATCTCATAGTCTTCATTTTTTATTAAAACGTCCCTCAAAACACATATGTTAGAAATGTTAATGGACTCCCTGAGTAACTTATCTGTACCTATCCATGTCTGTCTCTTTCTCTCCTAAAGAGCCATACTCCACTCTCACCTCCAGTTCTGACACTTTTCCACCTTGTTTGGTGGCTGTCACCCTTGCTGCCCTGTTGTGTACTTGTACCCCACCTCCTCTAGACTTTAAACTAGTTTTAGCAGGGCCCTCATCTACCTATTATTCCTGTATCATTGTGTAATTGTATCATTTATTGTAAATTTATCCCCCATAATATTGTAAAGCAAATTAGTTGGCGCTATATAAATATAAATAATAATAATAATAATATGGAAATGTAAAGTGTATAAGATCTAACAATGATTTTATGGCTGAGAGTTTTAGGTCACTCTGATCCTGTGCGTCCGGCTCGTCTTGTTGCAATAAAATGTCTGTTAGTCTCCCTATTGTACAGCGCTAAGGAATTTGTTGGCTCTTTATCAATAATAATATTATTGTACAAAACAAAAGCTATAAATTTAAGTCTCATTGCAATAATACACAAATAGGTGAAATGCACAAAAAAACTGTCCTTCAGATTACATATTTCTGTATTGTTTTGTAGCATTTTTCTTGCATCTATATAGTTAAATCATGTTATTTACTGGTCAGTTGGTTATATCAGCACTGAAATGGTTATTATGATGGCTAGTTGTGCCACTGCATTGTGTTGCTGTGATAGAAGCTTTCTATTTAGCCCTCCCCCCCAAGTCCTCCTACACAGACCCTGACTTGCATAGAGCGTTTTATTGCAATGTGTATGTGGGTGGAAAATAGCAGTAAGAGCACTGCAACCTCAGGCAGGGCAGAGACCAGAGCAAAGCAGAGAAGGAGAAGGATAAGAAAAAGCAAGATACAAGATAGCAGATGTAAAGCAAAAAAGAAATATAAAAACAATCTAGGTAATTAGAGAATGGGTGAGAACCATTTGAACTAGATATACCAACGGTCAAAAGACAGATTAGGTTGCAAGGCTCAATAAAGATACATTGAAGAGAGAAATATTCAGTAATATCTAACAAGACAAACAGGATAACTACAAAAATTGCAGCACAGGCTCTGTTTACACTGGCATTTAATTTTGTGGTTGAGATTTCTTCAGGCTTTTTTTTTTTTTCGGGAAGTGGTGTGACTTCGACATTCAAACAAAGATTACCTTCCTTCATGGCGGAGAGAGTTTGCAGGTCAGACGAACTGAAGAGGAATCCCAAACCAAGGCAAGTAAGTTTTCAAATGGGGCAGATATGGTTACATTTATTTGTTTGTTTATATGTTTAGTTTTGTTTTTGTTTTTTTGGTCTCCAATGAAAAATAGTCCTAAACCTCTGGCTATTTCTGGAATGTGATTCCATTATAATCAACAAGGGATTATGGGAGGTGTGGTTCAGCCACAGCTGGAGATTATTGTTGCATCTGTCCTCATTTAACACTCACACCTGCACTTTTCACCTACAAAACTTCTCGAAAGATATGGAATTCTATTCTTTGCACAATAAAATCTTCTATTAATCCTTAAAAAAAAAAAAAAAAAAAACTTTATATTTAGGAAGGCATATCAACAAATGAGCTAACTTCTTTACCCTGAATCATCTCCTCTTTGTTTTAACTAATCCCAGCTTCAAGTCACCTGTTTAATTCAAATAATGTTTAAAGACATATCATTGTTACACCTAGCAATCAATTTTTACTTTGAATAGAATGCACTTAACCCTTTGCGTACTTTTACTTTTTAGATTGTGAACTTGTCGGATCAGGATCCTCACGGTTTCTTGTCCTAGAAAATGAAAATTATAACTTTTATGTCTTTTAAAATGGTCTACAATAGTTCTAATATGACCATGAATTGCGAGACAGATTTTTTTATTTTTCCCTTCGAAAAAAGGACAAATCTAAAAAATGTACAGTTAGTATTAGAGAAAAACATGGGGTCATCAAGATGGTTATTCTCAAAGACAGTCTAAACAGTAACTTGTAATATATGTATATATAACAAAGATATATAATACATTTACAAAAAATGGTACTGAAAATCAGTGTACAAGTTTCCTTCTCCCATTTAGAGTTTTGTGCATTTAGAAGACCTGCGTGTATCCTGTTAAGATTTGTGCTAGTGTGGTGCTGAGACAGAGCATCTCAGCAGTGACGTGATTATTTGGAACTCAAACTGAAATAAACAGGCAAGACAATCAACTCGAATTGTTAATGGTAAACTGAAAAGTAAACAAATAATGTAAAAACAAGACAGCAACAAAACGCCTAACATTGCAAATGGACAGAGAGGGTCACTTTTATTTTAGGGGTGTAACCAGGGGCGGGGCTGTTCTGATAAATTTTAGTTGACTTACCAGTGGCAATTCTTGTAATATAGGACAAGAACAATGTATCTTATTTACTCAGACTGATTCATAAACATATTTATAGTGATTTATAGACACATTACTGTGAGTATTATGGCGGTGGAGCTCTGCTATACACTAAGGCACATCAACTATATGGAGCTCCTAGAAAAGAGGGACAGAGGGATTTGGGCCCAAAATATGGAGTGGGCCTCCTAAATCACATTCACTGCAAATTGAGCCCTTGGTTTATGCTGCCTGCTTGTATAGAAGCAAGCTCTTTTTAATGACAGGTCAGAGGTCTGTAGGCCAAATGAGGTTTGAAACAAACAACCAAGCAGCTCTGGCAACTGTGAAAGCAGAACGGCAGATCTTAAAGCGTCTCTGTCACTGTTTTTTTTTTATTATTATTTATTTATTTTTTTTACTTGTCAGGCATCTTCCCTTCGTCTGCCACATTTTTGTCTTAACCAAAGGAAAAAAGTTACCTGCACTCTCTCCTTAATCTCTATGTATATTTAAACAAATGGAGGTAATTTAGTTACTGGAAGGTATGCACGCCTGCCAATGTCAAGGCAGACCCCCCTAGACGGGTCCTACTCTGACCCTTCACCTTGCTTCCTTAAGCTTCTGGCAAAGATATCGCTAATGAGACAGAAATTTTTATTTTTTATATACACCCCTATATACTTATTAAGCCCTTAATAGGGAACACATGGGATGGGCGGCAGCATTGTAACAAAGCTGTGTAATACAAAAAGTGAATACAAATACAAAAATAAAAGTCCTGCGCTCACTCCCATCACTCCTGGGCGGCAGCAACGACCACAGTACACATCAGCTCCCATACACATGGTAAAAACCAAAGAAAAAAAGTTACCTGCGCTCTCTCATTAATCCCTATGTATATTTAAACAAATGGAGGTCATTTAGTTACTCCAATGGCCACTGGAAGGAATGGCTGCCTGCCAACGTCAAGGCAGACCCCCCCCAGATGGGTCCTACTCTGACCCGTCACCTTGCTTCCTTGACTGTGGTCGTTTCCGCCCAGGAGTGATGGGAGTGAGCGCAGGACTTTTCTTTTTGTATTAAGGGTTAATAAGTATATAGGGGTGTATATAAAAAATACCCCTCTCGGTCTCATTAGAGATATCTTTGCCAGAAGCTCAAGGAAGTAGGCTGGAGGGTCAGTGTAGGACCCGTCTAGGGGGGGTCTGCCTTGAAGGTGGCAGGCCGGCATTCCCTTCAATGGCCATTGGAGTAAATAAATGACCTCCATTTCTTTAAATATACATAGGGATTAAGGAGAGAGTGCAGGTAACTTTTTCCCTTTGGTTTTTACTATATATTGGGGCTGATGTGTACTGTGGTCGTTGCTGCCGCCCAGGAGTGATGGGAGTGAACGCAGGACTTTTCTTTTTGTATTTGTATTCACATTTTTGTCTTCTCAACTTAACATTTTTTGCAAAGTTATACATAAGGCAAAGTAGAGACTATGTTTCCTCATGTATAAACTGCAGGTTGACAAAGAGTGGAGCTTTAGTGATGCTCCAAGCCTACAGTCAACTTTATCATTGGCTGTCTATGTGTATACTCACCTTCCCCCAGTGGCACGTCACGGATCCTCAATGTTGACTCTTACACAATTGCTAGACTCAACTGAGGTCTGCTGAAGCCCATCGTGGTACTGGGTATGCGTGTGATATGACACACATGGCCAGGGATGGGCAGAAAATACTATTTCCGTGTTAAACTTTCTAAGATGGCAGAGCCAAGAAAGTAGATCCTGCAGGACCTGAACAACAGATGGGATGGATTTCTTCTTGGGACTCTTTAGCATTAAAAAAAACCCAAAACCTGTTTAATGCTGGCTGGAAGGTCCTGCCAGGGTATTCCTGATGTTGTAACCACTTCACTAAGATAAAGCAGCTCTGGTACCCACAGTTTAAGGGTTTGAGTTACCTCCAGATTCAATTATTGGCTTACAAAAGTATATGCTAGCATTGCTTAAGGAATATTAATTTAACCAATACATGTCATCATAGCATTGAGAAACTTCCAAAATAGACTTAACCCATTTTATTTCTAGACAATAGTTATTCTTATTTATAGAAATAAAAAAAATCCTTTATATTTTGTTCAGATTACATCTTAGGCAAAAACAAACAAACACTTAATGTTAGTGTGTCCTGGGATTTATGTAGGAAGGTGAAATCAACGCTAGGGCCTTGGGCTTTCCACACCCTGACTGTAATTCCAAGTATTGCTACGTAGGAGGTTGTATTTTTTTTTTTTTTTTACTCCTCTGCAAGAGATGTTCTTTTTCCGGAAAAATAACAATAGGTTCTATTGATGTAATTAGAGTTGAAATATATTTTATAATTGCTACCTGGAAAAACTATTTTTTTTTATACACTATATAACTAGTCCAGAAAATAATGAAAGCTTTTAAGCTGCGGGAGATTTTATATCTAAGACTAAATACAAGAAACAGCACATTGCTTTTTCTAGATATAAAGTGTAATTTTGTGTCTAAGAACCATCTACCTCTTAACAAAAAAAACAAAAGACACGGATTTGATTAGAACTGTGAGAACAGGCAAATAACCCGTAGCTTGCCCTTTGGTTAGTGTCTATTCTCATGTCTTATATAGGTTTTAAAACGGCACTGTCAACCCCCTTCCCCACTCATATTGACTGTGTGGGAGTTTTATTGAAATTCCAACCCAGTCAAGATACATGCTGAGACAAAGTAAGGACTACTTTGTCTCAATATTTCTCCTACGCCTGACACCTCTAGACACTGGGCGACTAGAAGTGACAGCTGAAGATAGTTGGCTTTATCTGTGGAGAATCCTGCAGTCATGTGGGATTCTCCATAGACCTCAATGTTCTACTCTCGCATGTGAGTACAGCAGTGACATTGGCTCCTGGCAGCTGAAGCACCAAGAGCTAAAGAGGGTCCACCAGAAGAAGAAGGCGGTGACCGCAAGGGGCAGGTTCAGGTAAGTAGAACTCATTTGCCTGCCCTCTCCCTGGCCATTGGATCCCCAGTGGCAAGGTCACCATTGTTTTGGTTTTTTTTTAAATCTCACAGATGGTGACAGTGCTGCTTTAAAGGGACACTGTAGTCACCATAGCAACTACAGCTTATTGTATTTGTTCTGGTGAGTATAATCAGTCCCATCAGGATTGTGTGTGTGTGTGAACACAAAATTGGCACAAAGTCATGAAAAGAATGACAAACAGGATAAAATGGGCAAAAAGAGAAAGAAAGATGTGGCAAGATGCACAAAGGGGGCAAAAGGATGGGGGATATTAGACAGAGAGGTGGAGACAAATTTTGACAGGTGAAGACAAATTCTGTATAGATAAAAATCATTGCTCTGGCCAGGTGCACAAGGGATGCAATATCACCTGATGATTATTCCAGTCTTCTTTTAGCTGCAACTAATACCTCTCTATGTGCAATGTCAAATTTTCCAAGTCTGAATTACCCTTTTGACTTAGAAATACGTAATCATATGTAAATAGCAAAGATAAAATGTATGAGAACATGTTCACTGCAATACAAGAATTAAAAGTTCTGGTTTCTTAGCTTGTACCCTTATGGGAATGATCAAGCTGGTCAGGTGATAGCACTCTGGTTGGTATGCCTGGCTCCAACTAGTGATATGCTAATTCAGATATGTGGCGCATACACAAGAATCTTCTGGAAAGGCACTGGATTTCATTGCATCAAGAGGCCTATACTGGCTAGATCAAAGCAGTATAGAATGAGAGTTTTGCAGGGTTCAGAAAAACTATGACAAACATTAAGTATTCTCTTAACCCTATTTGCTTTCTTAAAGGGACACTCTGTGGTGGAATCGCTGCTCTTTTACATGTGTTTCCCCTGTATGCTTGTTTATTGTGCCCACTCCCCGTTCGGAAGTGCTTCCACGAAGGGAATTCATTCACCTCCCGAACGGGGACCACCCCAACACCTCATTTAGAATGTTAGGTTAGAATGTTCACACCTCGCAACATAAGTGTCAAAACCGCAAACTGCAAGGGAAACAATTAATGATTGCTTCCCTGGGTGTCCGCCATTCGTACAGGCGAACGCCACCAGGGGGAATATTCGTGGATTGTTTCTCGCCTCGTTCATTCCCGAACGAGGGCCTCCCTGGTGCCTCATTAGAACGTTCACACCAATTAATCAGAACGTTCGCACTCACAACATAGGTGTGAAACCTCAAGGGAAGTAATTAATAAGTGCTTCCCTGGGTGACTGCCATTTGTATAGACAAACGCCAGCTAGAGGGAGCATTCATACCCCAAAAGAAGACGCTTCCCTTGACTGGGTTTCACACCAGGATCTCGCCAATTGAGACTAGTCGATCGAGGGACCAAGGCGAGGGTCCCTGAGATTGGTTGTGGGCACTTTTGGGGCACTGATGAGTTTGGCGGGCTTCCCTTGACTGGGTTTCACACCAGGATCTCGCCAATTGAGACTAGTCGATCGAGGGACCAAGGCGAGGGTCCCTGAGATTGGTTGTGGGCACTTTTGGGGCACTGACGAGTTTGGCGGGCTCTCATGAGCCTGAGGGACAAAGGGACCAGCTCTCTTCCCGCTGGCGGGCTTTTCTGTGCCTGGGAGACAAAGGGACCGTTCCTTTTTTCCGCGCTTAGACTTCCAGGCACAGAGGCTCTTGGGAAGAAAACCCCTGGCGGTTGGTGTAGGGACCCGGTGGACTTAGTGGTGGGATTTGGGGACAAAACAAATTGGGTCTCTTCCCGTGCAGGGAGGGAGAGGATCTGGGATGTGTCCTTGTATGTTTGTGTGGAAAACCCCTTGCACGGCGTAACGCATTAAGCCATGTATGACCAATAAAATCGTGTTGTACCTCCAGTACTGTGTGTCGTCCAGTTACTGGGGGGTGTAATGGGTCTCTTGATACTATAAATAGTTCCTGACTGGCTGAAGGAAGGGAATTAGCAGAGGTAACAGGTCGGGTTACCCTGGGTCCGCTACACACTCCACTGCCCAAATTAAAAAAAACTATAAAAATCACTGTTAATTAGATACACCCGCCTCTTGGATTTAGCTCCACTGAGCTGAACAACCAGGACGTAACAGGACTGGTTGTCTGAGAACCAGTTGTATAAGAAGGTTAATTTATAAAAGTGCCAATTTCTATACAAATTTGCACTTTTTTTGTAAAATGTAACAATCTTAACATAAATACATAAAGCATTTCATTAAGTGCTTTTGGAGTCTTAAGTAGGGCTCGATTTGCCAAGTAAACTGTAATACTAATACTTGTTCTTGGACAAGAACAGTAAGAATGCTTCAGGAACATTAAACAGGGGGACACATTAGATACCACAGTCAAAACTTGGAAAGTATTTGAAGGGATATTAAGGGATAATATTCAGAAATTCATGGGGGGAGCAGTGTTATTAGTAATAATCAGCATGGTTTTATGAAACATAGGTCATGCCAAACTAACCTAATTGCATTCTATGAAGAAGTAAGTAGAAGTATAGATTGAGGTGTTGTAGTGGATGTTATCTACTTGGATTTTGCCAAGGCGTTTGATACTGTTACTCACAATAGGTTAGTGTTCAAACCAAAAGAAATGGGTCTAGGTGACAATTCTTGCTCTTTGGTAGAACATTGGCTTAAATTTAGAGTAGAGAGAGCTGTCATTAATGGTACATTTTCAATCTGGACAAAAGTGGTAAGTGGTGTCCCTCAGGATTCTGTTCTGAGACTGCTTCTATTTAACATATTTATAAATGATCTTGAAATAGACATTGAGACATTGAAAATCATGTTTCAGTGTTTGTAGATGACACAAAACTCTGTAAAACAATACAATGTGAGCAGGATATTACTTTGCTGCAGAGGGATTTAGACAGATTTGGGGACAGGGCACTTAAATTGCAGATGAAACTTAATGTAGATAAATGCATTTCAGGGTAAAGAATGCACAAGTAACGTACACCCTAATGCTAGTGACCTATGGATAACAATACACGAGAAGGCTTAGAGAATTGTTATAGCCAACAAACTAGGCAACAATATGCAATGTCAATCACCAGTTGCTAAGGCCAGTACGGTATTGTCATATATTAATAAAGGCATTAATTCTCCAGATTAAATTATAATTTTGCCTCTTTATAAATCACTGGTAAGACCACATCTTGAGTATGCTGTGCAATTTTGGGTATAGAAGAGCGATAGAAGCTATTATGGGTACAACATACATCCGGGCAGCCAGGCCAGTAAAGGAAAATCTTTAAACTCCACATCAGCCATGAAAATAGTCGGGTGCTGGTGTGCAGGTACAAGGCTTAATCCAGAGGGGAGCAATTGTCCTGCTCTGCCCCCCCATAGATGTGATAAATCTCAGAGTGAATGACACAAAATTATTGGCAGATACATATCCGGTTATTCATGCTGTTTGTATCTACTCTCTAAGGCCTACTCGGAGTAGTTGTGAGTAAGAAAGATGCTTTACTGTTTGCACAGGCTCTCCCTACAGGAGTCCCCAATGCCCCCTATTTACATTACTTTAGTGAGAATCTGAAATAAAAGAGGAGTTGCCTGGGAGTGGAGACTGGTGCTTTGCTGATAAACCCTTAGAACACAAAAAAATATTTTAAAACCGGAAAGTTTCTTTTTTAAAATACTAATATGATAGTATGCAATGTATCAAGATATCTTTTTTTAATCTCATTATTAAATAATGTTTTTTTAATAAAGTAATAATGTATTCTTGTTTAATCTGATTTGATACTTTATTTTTCTGTAGGGCAAGCACAGAACATACGTCACTTCCTCGTACTCTTGGTGAACTACAGCTCTACCGGGTTCTGCAGAGGGCCAATCTGCTTGGGTACTATGACACCTTCATCCAGCAGGGTGGTGATGATGTGCAGCAACTATGTGAAGCTGGAGAAGATGAGTTTCTGGAGATCATGTCTCTTGTTGGCATGGCAACAAAGCCATTGCATGTACGTCGACTACAAAAAGCCCTCAGAGACTGGGCAACCAACCCTGCACTATTTAACCAGCCAACATTGGGCAGTATCCCCATCAGCAACAGTATACCATTATTCAAAATATCTGAAACAGTCGGTAAGGTTGGGAGGCACAGCAATGGGCATCTCAATATCTCTGACAGTCATGGAAAGGGCCCAGGAACTTTTGGACTCTCAGAAAAACATGAACAGAATGGAAAATACTCTCCTTCCCAGGTAGAGAGGAGGTCTTGGATGTCTAACATTTCCCTGGAAGCAGATGAAGGAGATGATGAAGATGTTGATGATGAAGATGATGATAGGGGAACACAATATGCTCAACTTGGAGAAAGACTAGAACCTGAAATGGTACAGGTAGTTTCAGAAAGTGTGGACAGGCTGATGAAAGGGCTGCCACGGGGAGATATGAGTGAGGCTCGATCCATGCTCAAACTAAATAAGAAAGTGAGCCGCTCACTGGGACATATCTTTCACATGAATGATGGAAGTCAGAGGAAGGAACGCGAGATTCGTAGGCACAGTGCCATTTATGGAAGGAGTGAATCCAAGAGACGTGAAGGAAAGAGACTCACACTACATGAGGTCAGAAATGATACCAACTAACTTTTAACCTATCTGGGGTGTCCTCCTCTTTCTAGGGTTATACAAATAAAAGTGACTTACTGAAAAGTTGTTCATCATCTTATATAATCTAAACAGGAGTACCCATTGATGCAGAATATTGCCTTTGCCGCTAGTCGGCCTGCAGTGCAATGCATGCTTATCTAAAGTAATGGCCACTTTATCAAATGGGCAGCTACTCTGGACACATCATTGTCAGGGGCCCATTGCCAAACTGGCCTGAGGGACAGTGGATCAGTCTTACATTTTCTGCCCTACCACCAGATGGCACTGCAGTGCCCAAACAGCAGCTCTTCAAGGGCTCCTCTGCATCATGAAGGTAATTGTGATTTTGAATGTTTATTAAGTCTTATTGCATGTGAGTATCTAGTGTTCATTGGTACGGTCTCTTTTGTATTTATTGTGTCCACAAACATGTTAAAAGTAGCCATGTGTAGCATGTACATTCTATGCACACCATTTTACTGGTTTAATAAAAACCCGTACTTAAACACTACCTTGAAATACATTTTTAACACTGACTTTAAAAAGGAAATAGGATTAGTTAGATTCCTTAAAATTAGGTATGGCGAAAAGCAGATGCCCAGCTATTGTAGAACTAACATCTAGATGATATCCTCCCTCTCCCTTCAATGCTGGCAAAGCACATTGGGAGTTGTAGTTTTGCAGTAGCTAAGGATCTTCCTTTGGCCTGCCCCTGAACTAAATCATCCATCAAAATAGCAGAATGCCAGATCTGGTGGACATTTTCTTTCCTTTTATTGTAACGCATGCTCCATCCATCAGTTGTATTCCTAGCACTATAGCCCCATGTGTTCCCCCCCCCCACCCCCCACCCTGCAATGCTTTCCTGTGGGGGTTTTACTGACGCTGGATGTTCTCATACTTAGCGTGCGGACCAACATCAGTTAGGTGACCAAAAGTCTCCTAGCAAGCAGGAAGTGCTTGATAACCACTAGAGGCAGTCTTAACCATGCAATGTAATCATTGCAGATATCAGAAACTGCACTAATTAACATTGCAGGGTTAAGGGGAAAGGGACATTGCACCCAGACCACATCAATGAGATGAAGTGATCTGGGTGCCTATAGTGTCCCTTTAATAGTTTTATTGGTTTACATTATTTCACAATAAAAAGATGTGCAGTACTGAACAAAAGACAACAATTAATATAGGTAGGAGCACACAACAAAGTACAGCCTGCAAAGATATGAGTCGGAATAGCCACTTCCCCTAGTGATCAAACATATGTACAACTTGAACTCATCAACTGCACACCAATTAGCAAAGATAAAAATAGTTTATATTTTTATATATTATAATATTTTTATGCATATATATATATATATATATATATATATATATATATTTCTCCAAATAAGTGTATCATCAATTATTCATAAGAAGGCAGTCAGAAGTAATTTATCAATATGATATATATATATATATATATATATATATATATACATACAAACGTTAGAAAACAATTCAAACTTAAACAAGTAGAATGCAAAAAACAAAACACACAACTAAAGGACCACTATAGGCACCCAGACCACTTCAGCTCAATGAAGTGGTCTGGGTGCCTGGTCCCTCTAGTTTTAACTCTGCAGCTGTACACATAGCAGTTTCAGAGAAACTGCTATGTTTCACTGAGGATTAATCCAGCCTCTAGTGGCTGTCTCATTGACAGCTGCTAGAGGAGCTTCCGCGATTCTCACTGTGAAAGAATCCTGGAAGATGAAGTTTTGATACATTTGGGGATCTATCTTTTGGGCACCCCTTGTGTACATAGTGTTACCTCTTATGCTTATAACCAGGAAAAATAGACACACAACACCAGAACAAAGTACTTATAGTACTGAACAAAGACATATGAGAAAAAAAAGACATTCTAATATATTGTCTGGTTGACAATTGAGATAAATATAGTCCTCAAACATCTGTAGTGCAGAATGCAAGCTGTTTTTTCTGAAACTTGTTTCTCTGCGTTTTTTCTTGGCTAGATGGTTGTACAAAACATGGGTAGTCTACATACATAGCTGTGGAGGGGCAATTTTTTGACTTTGGTCTAGTCCTGAATGACAGTCTTCTTATTTACACGTGATGTCCAGGGGTGTATTTACTGTGAGGCTGACAAGGCATTTGCCTTGGGCGGCACTTTCTGGGGGGAAAATGCCTTGCCAGCCTCTTGTCCCAGGGGCAGCGCTGGCAGGGGCGGCACTTTCCGAGCAGGCGGTGAGGGAGCACTGATCCTCCTGTTCAGCTCCCTCACACGTACTGCAGTGATGCCGGAGCCAGAATATGACATCACTCTGGCCCAGCATCACTACGCAGCGCACGAGGGAGCTGAACAGGAGGATCAGTGTTCCCTCGCCGACTGCAGTGACCGGCCAGCCGGCCGCCAAGCAGCGCCACTTGACCCCAGGGAAAGCGAGAATCCACCCCAGCACTCCCAAAGGTAGGGAGGCTGGGGGGATTGAATTTTTTAAAAAAAGTGAGTGTGTTTGTGTGTCTGGTAGTGAGTGTGTGTGTGTCTGTTAGTGTGCATGTCTGTTAGGGAGTGTGTTACTAAGTGTGTGTCTGTTAGTGTGTGTGTTACTATGTGTGTGTCTGTAAGTGGATGTGTTAGTATGTGTGCGTCTGTAAGTAAGTGTGTTAGTGTGTGTCTGTTAGAGAGTCTGTTAGTGTGTATGCATGTCTGTGACTGTGTGTGTCTGTTAGTGAGAGTTTATGTGTGTCTGTTAGTGTGTGTCTGTTAGTGTGTGTGTGTGTGTCCGTCCGTGAGTGTGTTAGTATGTGTGAGTGTGTTAGTGAGTGTGTATGCATGTCTGTTAGTATGTGTGTATCTGTTAGTGTGTGTGTGTCTCTTAGTGAGTGTGTTAGTATGTGTGTCTGTTAGTGAGAGTGTATGCATGTCTGTTAGTGAGTGTGTGTCTGTTAGTGACTGTATGTGTCTGTTAGCTAGTGTATGTGTGTCTGTCAGTGAAAGTGTGTGTCTGACACACAGTGTATATGTGTCTGTCAGTGAGTGTGTATGTATATTTAGAAGGCTGGGTGGGGGAAGAGTGCCTGAGGCTGTTTTCTTTTACGGTTGTTATGCCTAGGGGCAGCACAAAACCAGGATACACCACTGGTGATGTCACAACATCACACAAAGGAACACACTAGAATAAAAATGGGTCCTAGAGTCTCCTTCTACTTAGAGGATTATTCATTCTTTTCAAGGAGCCTACTTACTGCCACTTGTAATATTGCAAGGAATGAGGACAGGAAGTGAAGAAAATGGATGAAAGTGTGTAAATATGGATATGAAAGATGATACTAAATAGTGAGAGTGTGGGATTATGGCATTATGAAGGAAAATGCTTAAAAAGATGGCTTTAACAGTAGTAAGAAAACAGATGCCTTGAGAAGAAGTGACTTAGAGATGTGACTTGGGAGGAGAAACAATTTAAAGACAGGAAAACAGTAAATTAACATTTTATTGCTGGCCTTGTGGAGAATATGATGGGAACAGCAAGAAAGTATAATTGCTGACTCACTGGCTGACAAGCAGTGGCCTAACTAGAAACCCCTGGGCCCCAGGGCGAAAATTTCCCTGGGGCCCCCTGTATGTGTCTCATTTCCCCATGTGTCTCATTCCCTTCCCCCCAGCCCCTCCATGTAAAACATTCCCTGCCCCCAAATCCCTCCACATGTCTCATTCCCCCCAAGTCCCTTAATTTGTCTCATACCCCCCAAGCTCCTCTGTGTCTCATTCCCCCCAGGCACCTCCATGTGTCTTTCTTCCCTCCACTCTTGCCCCTCCATGTGTCTCATTCCTCACCAAGTGTCTCATTTGCTCCCCCCAGTCCCTCCATGTGTCTCATTTCACCCACAAGCCGCTCCATCTGTCTTTCTCCCCCCTCCACTCTTGCCCCTCCGTGTGTCTCTCTCTCCCCCCTGCAGCCCCTTCATTTCTCTTTCCCCCCCTGCCTTCACCTGCAGCGACTACATTTCTCTCCGGCCTCCACTCCCCTGCAGCTTCTCGATTTCTCTCTACCCCACCCTTTCCCTGCAGCCCCTCTGTTTCCCCCTTGCAGCCCCTCCATTTCTCTCACTCCCTTCCCTGCAGACCCTCTATTTCCCCCCTTGCCCTGCAGACCCTCCATTTCTTCCTTCCTTCCCCTGCAGACCCTTAATTTCTCCCCCCTTCCCCTGCAGACCTTTCATTTCTCCCCTTCCTGCAGATCTTCCATTTCTGCCCCTTCCCCTGCAGACCCTCCATTTCTCCCCACTGCAGACCCTCTATTTCTCCCCTTGCAGACCCTCCATTTCTTCCTCCCTTCCTGCAGACCCTTCATTTCTCCCCCTTCCTGCAGACCCTTCACGTTTCTCCCCTTCCCCTGCAGACCCTCCATTTTCCCACTGCTGACCCTCTATTTCCCCATTCCCCCCTTCCCCTGCACACCATCCATTTCTCCCCCTTTCCCATGCAGATCCTCCATTTCTCCATTGCCCCCTTCCCCTGCAGACCCTCTATTTCTCCATTCCCCCTTCACTTGCAGACCCTCCATTTCTCCATTCCCCCCTTCCCCTGCACAACCTCCATTTCTCCCCCCTTATTCTGCAGACCCTCCATTTCAACCCCCCTCCTTCCCTTGCAGACCCTGCATTTCAACCCCTTCCCCCTCCCCTGCAGACCCTCCATTTCTCCATTCCCCCCCTTAATTGTTTGCAGCAATTGCGGTACCAGCCTGAGTCTGACAGGAATTGCCCTCTCAGTGAGCACTTCCTGTCAGACCGCTCGGCTGCACTACACACAACTGCAGGATGGGAGCAGCACAAAACTTTTAATGAGCAGAGCATTGTTTTTCATTTTGGTTTGTTGGTTTGTTTTTTGGGTGGATAGATACATTTATATGTTTAGTAAACAGATTCTAGTATTTAGGAGCAAGATATACACATTATATTTTTTATAATTTTTTTTTAATTAAAGGGTCTATTATGAAGTTTTACAAAAAAAAACACAAATAATTTAAAGCAAAAGTGTGAAATGCAATTATTTTCAGTAGCACACTTTTAATCAGCACAGTCTGACTCTAAAAATAAAAAAAAATTATCCCCAGATGCCACATTGGGTGCTAATCTAAAGGGCATCACAATAAAACAAATAATTTTCCTCCTATCGGAAGCCAGATTGGGCACAATGTTGATTTGAAGCATAAAAAAATAGCTGAACCTGAAAAAAAAGAGTGGTTCCTACCCACGACTGTCCTGTATCAAAGCTCGTAACCAACTGAGTGAGTCTGAAATGGCCAACAGCGGGTGGGAATATGATAGTGGTCTCACAGCAGGTAGCGGAGACCATCTTGTAGCAAAATCACAGCGGAACCCATTTCTGTTTTCCGGGAACCCCGGGGTTCTGCTGAACACTAGTCGCTCTATTTCATGACTTCTAGAGAACATTTGGCAATAATGTTCAAAATAGGGTTCAATGTTTTACACAAACCAAATGCAACGATGATTATAAAACTATTGTCAAAAGCATCTGCTAAAAAAAAATTTAATCACATTATTTATTACATATGTACTTTATTGAACCAAGGTGATAATTCGGAAGTATTTATTGAATGTGACATTAATCTGCCTTCTTCGTTCCAGTCTTTGTAATCTCATAATTCTTAATTCCATTAACATCTTCTCCGTTATCATATCTGCAGCTTACAATAAATGAGGCAGCAGCACAGTGTTGTGTGAGGGACAATACACTACTTCTACGGAGAGTGGAGCTCTTCTCCCTAGCAAGGCAGGCAGCCCGGGAGAGCTCTTACCTTTCATCTCTCAAGGGTTCCAAGTAAGTAGAGATCATAACAGAAAAAGAACAATAAACCCTGGCACGCCTGACAAAATACTGACTGAGATAATACCATTGTTAATACCATTGTTTTTAATGATGTGCATGTGTCTGGAATTTTTCAAATTTACAGAAAATGTAGCCAGGTGGGTTGGGGCCAGATTCAACATATCTGCAATAGGGGGGAAAAAAAACAATAACTTTCTCAATTTGCTGTCCTCTGCAGGGGACACAATGTGATTCACTAAAGTGAGAATCGTCATGAATTTAAAGTGAATTTCACATGTAAGGACAAGATAACTGAACTGGAAACATCTGTACTTCTAGTTAAGCTACTTTGGCCTTAAAATTAATATTCACTAAACATTCCTATCCGTTCTCAATTTAGTGAATAACTCTGACAGAAGAGCTCACTCAAACAAACCATGCATCAACCATTAGATGTCCCACCTTAGAAACCATAAACATGCTATTAGGCCTCCCAAATGTCCTAAGTTTGGTGGAACAGTCGCAATTTTCAGGTCCTGTCCGCTGTCCCTACTCCTGTCGCTGTCTTGCTTTTGGGGACACCAGGGCCCCAGCAAACATATCTTGAGCACGTCTTCACCGAAACAGTGCTCCCTGCAAGACCTGCCCTCAGTGAGCTGGCTTGAATGATGGACAGGCAACCTGGGGGACATGACCTGCCAGTAACACGATGGATCTGCCTCTTTTCCAGGTAGAGCCATTGACACAATCGCGTCACTGGTACGTCACCTTTACCTCCTTCACACTGTGCTATGGCAATGATGAGCGAAGAAAATAATTATAGAATAATTTAATTGTTCCTGTTGTACCCCATGACACAGTATTCCAACATAGGGAAACCCCAAAATAATTTATATGCCATAGCACAAACAAATATTACTTATCTTTTTCATTACAAATGTCAAATGAACTTGTTCTGGTTTTATACAGTCAGAATTTTTTTTAACTAAATATATTTTTTATCTGAGGCAATCCCTGAGGCTGCATTACAGCTTACATGTGTCATTAGCCCTTTCATAGTATTTCTGTGTAATGGATCCATATGTAACGGTCCAGGATGTCTATATTAAGAGGATGAGTTCTGTGTTATATTTGTTCATGAGGCAGTAGGTTTAGACTAACCAATAGATGTATATGTACATATTTCAATACTGAAGTATAATCAGGTCCTGGCTCTTCAACCCGTTTGTGTCCTCTGCCACTATTGTTCTGTTAACTCAGGCAAGTAGTTGTGTTTCATGGTCAATAATATGAGTCTAAGGGGTCATAATTATTGTTGAGCGGACACCTGGATGTTCGAGTCCGGTGGGTTCGGCCGAACTTTGAAAAAAAGTCTGGGTTCGGGCTCGAACTTGACCCCGAACCCGAACCCCATTGAAGTCAATGGGGACCCGAACTTTTGGCCACAAAAATGGCTCTAAAAAACTCCTGGAAAGGGCTAGAGGGCTGCAAAAGGAAGTAAAATGGGGGTAAGAGTCGAACAAGTGCCCTGCAAACAAATGTGGATAGAGAAATCACTTAAAAATAACATAAATAAGCAGCCGCTTAGTAGATAACCCACTAATTCACACAGTATTAGGGAGCTATCAACCAAAAGGCTGAAAGACCTAAATTGGTATTTCAGCCACATTTACTAACACTGTAAAAAAAACAAAAAAAAAACGGTTGGGGGTGCTAAATAAGAATGTGGAGGGGGGACCTACTATCCTCCCCCCAACCCCCACCCCTGCGCGGTGGGTGGGGGCCCCAAATAACAATAAGGGGGGGAGCCTAATGTCCTCCCCCCTGCCCCCAACCCTGCACGGCGGGTAAGGGCCCTAAATAACAATAGGGGGGGAACCTACTGTCCTCCCCTCCCCGGCCCCCACTCCTGAGCGGTGGGTGGGGGCCATAAATAAAAATTGGGGGGGGGGGGACCTAATGTCCTCCCCCCCCGGACCCTCCCACACACAAGACATACATGCATACATACAAAGACACATACATACAAACAGACAGACACACACACATAAACTCAGACAGACACACAGACATGTGTACAAAAAACGCTATTGTGCAAATAAATGCCAAATAGTTCAAAATGTGGAGCGCTATAACAATAAAATGAACACTTACTCCTGTGATTCTCAGGAGATATAGGTGGTTATAAGGAAGTCCTTATACATCCATGTTAGGTAGGAAACCTCAAAATGGAAACGAAAACAGGGAAGCAATGCTAACCCTGGTGTAGAAATCCTTGGTATAATAGATGGTCAAATATAGATAACAATTGGCTTCTCACCTTGTCAGGAGCCAATAACCGGGCTCCAAGTATGCAGATGTAGTGTCAAATATAGAGTGACACAACCCTTCTTTGCAGCAACATGAATATATCACTAGTCCACTTGAATAAAAAATATAACATTTATTGTAAATATAACTTTAAAACAAATCAATATACTCAAGTGCTAGTGCTTGGTCCAAGGCGCGTTTCGCCTATGTAGTTCGGCTTTGTCAATTGGTAAATACATGCTGCAAATACAAACTTTAAATATCCCTTAGTGAAAGCTAATTGGAGAATGGCATCCGTGATACATCCAATCACGGCGCTCATGTTGGTGGGAGTATAGGGACTCAGCTGCTGATAATATTCCCAACATCGTGATGTCATCACGCACGACGACTCGTGCGTGTGACATCACACGCGGAAGTAAAATCTTCGTGAAAGTCACTTTATTTTAGACAAACAGACATACACACATACATACAAACACATACAAACAGACAGACACACAGACACATATACAAAATGTTTATGTTTCCTCCTGTTTCCTACCTTTTAGGTGCAAGAGGGTGACTTTCCTTGGGGTCCAGTGGTGGCTCAGGTTGATGGAAGTCAGAGTTCCCACTCTGACTCCCTTCTCTGCTTCCTCCCGCGCGGGCTCTGTGTATGCTGGGAGGAGTGACCGCGGCAGTAACTTCCTCCCAGTGTGTGATGTCATCACAGGGGGCCTGGTCACACTGTTAAAGTTCCGCAGCATGGGCCACCCGATGGACTCCCTAAAACAGCGGCCCCTGCCTGCACAGCAAACATGATTGTGGGTACCCAGTCGCAGCTGCGACCCCAATATGTAAGCCACTGCAGGGGGCCCAAGAAAATGCATTGCCCAGGGACCTATTCATATTATAGACGGCCCTCATTCACCCATCAGGTTCAGGAATTCTCACATCTGTTTTTCCTGTTGATACAAAAGAAGGCAAAAAAACGTCAGTCAGATCTCTCCTTGGGTCAAGAAGCTATTTCCCCACAAATTAAAAATAGATTCCTGTATATTATGTTTTTGCAAGTGTTCATCCAGTTGCTCTATAAGAATCTGTACAGACTCTGATAAAACCACCTCTTCGGGCAGAGAATTCCACATCCTTATTGTTCTTACTGTACAAATCTCATTCCTTTCCCTTAGGCTAAATCTCCTTTCTTTCAGTCTAAATATGTGACTTTTTGTCCTATTATAGTCCTGTTTATGAATAGATTTCAGACAATGATTTATATTGGCCATAAATATATTTGTATAATGCTATCATATCCCCTCTGAACTAAACAAATTTAAATGTGTTATCCTTTATTCATAACTAAAATGTTCCATTCCTTTTATTAATTTTGTAGCCCGCCTCTGCACTTTTTCTTCTAGTGCCACAATACTCCTCTTTAGAACATGGGCCCAAAATTGCATAGTATATTCACAGTATGGTCTTACCATTAATTTATAAAGAGACAACATTATATTTGCAACTGCTGATTGGCATTGCACATTGTTGCCTAGTTTGTTGGCTATAACAATTCCCAAGTCATTCTCGTGTGTTGGTATTCCTAAATCACTACCTTTTATGGTGTAAATTGCTTGTGCATTCTTTACCCAGAAGTGCATAACTTTGCATTTATCTACATTAAATTTAATATGCCATTTGAGTGCCCACTCCCACAATCTATCTAAATCCCTCTACATCGAAGTAATATCCTACTCACACTGTATTACTTGAGTGTTTTGTTTCATCTGTAAACACAGAAACATGACTTTCTAAGCCTATTTCAAGTTCATTTATAAATATGTTAAATAGAAATGGTCCCAGCATAGAACCCGAGGGACACCACTTACCATTTTTGCCCAGCTTTAAAATTTACCATTAATGACTCGTTGTACTCTATCCTTAAGCCAATGTTCTACCCAAGAACAAGAATTTTCATCTAGACCGATTTCTTTTGGTTGGATTACTAACCTGTTTTGTGTATCAAACACCTTGGCAAAATCCAATTAGATCATATCTAATTATACATATTATGATAACATTATACAAATATATTCGTGGTCAATACAAACCATTGTGTGGAAATCTATTCACAAACCGGACTTTACATAGGACACGAGGCCATGCGTTTAGACTGGAAGAAAGAAGATTTCGTTTAAGGCAAAGGAAAGGTTTTTTTTACTGTAAGAACAATCAGGAAGTAGAATTCTCTGCCTGACGAAGTGGTTTTATCAGAGTCCATACAGATGTTCAAACAGCTACTAGATGCATACTTGCAAAAACAGAATATTCAAGGATATAATCTTTCAATGTAGGGTAATAACTGCTTGATCCAAAGATAAATCTGACTGCCATTCTGGGGTCAAGAAGGAATTTTTTTCCTAGCTTGTTGCAAAATTGTGCTTCAAACTGGCTTTTTTTGCCTTCTTTTGGATCAACAGCAAAAAACATATGTGAGGAAGGCTGAACTTGATGGACGCAAGTCTCTTTTCAGCTATGTAACTATGTAATATCTACTGCAACACCCTGATCTATGCTTCTACTTACTTCTTTGTAGAATGCAATTAAGTTAGTGTGACATGACCTATGCTTCATAAAACCATGCTGATTTTAGATAATAAGTGTTCTTCCAAATGAATTCCTGAATATTATCCATTAATAACCCTTCAAATATTTTCCCAGCCACAGAAGTTTAGCTATCGGGTCTATAATTTCCTGGCAAAGATTTGAATATAGGAACCACATCTGCCTTCCTTAAAATGCCCCCAGTACAATTCTTGAAAGAAAAGAATCCTAAAAGATTAAAAACAGAGGTTTCCACACTTAGCTCCTATGAATACCGTTAAGCCCTGGAACATTGGTTACAATAACTTTCTTTAGTTGTTGCAGCACCTTGCAGCAATCAGTTGCCATAGGATCCACCTTATATACCGAGGGACAAATAGTTAAAGTGTATGCCTTTTCCTGGTCATTAAGTAACACAACCACCTTTAGTATACCTATACAATCATTTTTTATATTTTTTTTAAAGAATGTATTTACTTTCAAAATAAAATTGGTTTTGCTCTCTTTTTCAATCACCTTCTCATTTTCTAGTACAGCCCATGTAATCACCCTTTTTATTTTTGGCTTCCTTATATAAGATGCCTCTGATTTATCTGATTTAAAAATTCTTCAAATACCCTTTCTTCTTTTTAATTTCTTGGTTTACTTTCCCACTCAGTCACATTGGTTTCAGTTTGTTTCTTTTATATGTATTAACCAATGGTACATGCTGAGACGTTTACCTTTCTGATATTAGATTGAAGATATTCCATTCATCCTCTGGGTTTTATTTTCACTAAAGAGCTTATCCCAGTCAATAGGTAAAGCTGCCCTAGTCTTATTGAATTTGACCTTTTAAAAATGATATGTTTTAGTATACCCCATGTGTATTTGCTTTCTTTGAGTTTATTTTAAAATACACTATATTGTGATCACTATTTCCCAAGTGTTCCCCTACTTTAATGTTGGTCAAAAGATCAATATTGTTTGTAACTTCCAGATCCAGACAACTGTCCTTTATAGTTGGTGCTCGTACCAGTTGTGACATGAAGGTGTATTTTGACAGGTTCAAAAACTTGATTCCCGTTGCTGAATTACAGATGCTTCTCACTTACCATCCTGGTTCCTTTCTGTTAAAGTTCCTATTACTTTCCATGACTGTGCAAAAGAGAACTGTACACTTGTCAAATGTTATTTCACAGTCTAGAACATGACCATTTTAACAATCTAGAACAATCTAGAACTAGTTCTAATATTCTGCTTTCTTACAGGCAAAATTCTGAAGATATTGGTGTTCTTCAGACAAAAGTGCCTAAACAAGAGGTAATTGTGCTGCATGTGGGATGTGAATGTTTGAAGTGTGATTTAATTAATGTAAAATTCAGTCTCTAAAATAATACCAGAGTGATACAAATGCAAAAAAAAAAAAACAATGTTAGGCACAAGGATATATTGTTTTATTCATTTTGTAAGGCATGTAATGCCTTTACTTACATATGATTAGTGAGGAGCACAAATACACAGTAAAACATGTTGCATGCTAAAGATATATACTTGTCAACGATGGTTCTACCTCAGTACACCAACATCAATGAAAACAAAACTAATTGGCCATTGTCACAATAATCTGACACTGATAGAATTTGAAGTCAACAGCAACCAAACTTCTCCCACTCCAAAACAATACAAAACAAACATATGAGGGTCCAAATGATGCCTTCTTAATCTAATTAAATGTACACCCAGTAGGTCTTCTGCCTCCCTTCAAAATCTATGTTTCTTTCATCTCTCAATTGATAAGGTAAGCAATGATTGTCTTCATTTTGAAAAATCAACTCATGATGTCCTAGCGATCAGACAGCTGTAAACCAATCACACACTGTAAAATATTAAGCAACATTCTTAATTATATATGTGTTATCCTTAATATATATAAACACATCCTCCTCTTTTTTCAGCCGTTGGAGGGGGAATCTGAAAGAGGGATGACACCAGTTCGAATTAGTCTTGAAGAAGACAGTGGAAGCTTGTCTGGCGAGAGCATTGATGGACATCTGCAAGGTAAACACTATACCATCACATCAGTACTATTAATATCTTTTAATTTACAGTATTTCTAAATCTTTATGATAACAAAATTATTTAACATATATTAACATACTATGCTTTATATTTCAGGCTAACCCATTTCTCCTAAATGACCAGAAATAGGAAGTGGTGCTTAGTAGGATGTATTTGCAAGATTTATATATTCTCATTAGAAAAGTAACCAGAAATTGATCATTCCTATCAACTATTGAGAGTATTGAAGTTTTATATTAATAAACTAACAGGGTGCCTGTCTTTACCGAGGTCACACAGTATAGATGCAGGGGTAAAATCACATGTTCATAGTGGAATATTTCACCAGGTGGTTCTTTATTTTGGAAATCTGGAACATAAGGCAAAGGCCAGGCTGAAAAATTACCAGTTTTAGAAGCAAAAAGAAAAAGTTGCCATATTCAAAAAACAGAAAGTGGAATTAAGTGATTTCTGCTTAGTATGGTCATCAATAAACACACCATGGTATGCTAATGTTTAAACTGCTGAAAAGATTGTGGACTATGATTAAAAGGATTCTATAACCCCCGGCATGTAAAGGGTTTAAAAAACCCTTTGTGTACTCACCCAATTCCAGCGCTGACATCCCTCAGCGCTGGGTCGGTGATCTGCCTCCTCTGACGTCAATCAACTGGGGGCAAATGTATGAGCACTGCAAGCGCATTATGTCGTCCACGTAGGAGAGCATTGCTTCAACAGAGTTTGAGGGTGTTAAGCATCAGACAAACAAAAGTGTCCCTTGTGGCTGTCTGATTCTCAGCCACTAGCAATGGTCTTCTCAAAAACTGCAATGATTTACACTGCAGGACTAAGTTGGACAGGGGCATTGCACCCACACCACTACAATGAGAGGAAGTGGTCTGGGTGCCTAAAATGTCTCTCTCGGGAGACAAAATGCATTAAACCCTGTTGCCTATAGTCTATTTATTTTGTTTGTTTTTATATGTTTTAATGTAACTACATTGTTTTATTTTTATTGTTTTGTTTGTTTTAATGTGATTACATTAAAGAGTTTGAATTTTAGTTAAGGGATTAAACTAGTTTGAAGAGAGCTATTCAATTTCTGTTTATGCAGATGGAAAGATGACTAATGCTTACCATTGTACACTTATTTGGCTATATTGTTATTACATTTCTGATCATCCTATATTATGAGTTACACAAGTCTTTGATTAGGGAAAATGATTTGTAATACGTGAATCTTCTTCTACAGCTCTGGCTATGAGAATACCTTCCTCTCCTGGAGCACTTCCAGCGGATCTTTCTCTTGCTTTGCCCCATCCTGGCCCTTGGAGTAGACAACTTCTTCAGCAGACACTGATGGATGAGGGTTTACGATTGGCAAGGCTAGTGTCACGTGACCGTTTGGGACGCCTCAGTCTATGTGTGTCTGGTCCGCATCATGTCACAGGTGAGGAGGGTCAATGTCTAATGCATCTTTTGAGACAGGAGCAAAACAGAGAATGTTGCTGATAACCAGTGATGAGTTATTACGATAAGACTCGTATCCGCATTTAGACCACATGACGCTAGTTCTTCCTGTTGTACTGTATTAGTTTTGATCTGATTCGTGGTGTACTTCAGTCAAATTATTTACTATATAAGTGTGTTCTAATAATTCATTAAGTGCATCAAGAGCTTCAGTTCTTTGTTTTGCAAAGTGGACCATTTTATGTCTAAAATCTTGTCTTATAGCATGTGCATCTGACTATTCCTTCATTGAAATATGACCTTGTATCTTTTATTATACAGTGAGTGGAGTTCTGAGGAAAGGTGTTAGCCAGAAGTACTGATATCATTAGATTGAATTTATTGCAGTTAAAAGGTATACTATATTGTTGTATTCCTAACGCTATAGTGTATTCCTAACACTATAATGTTTCACTCTTGACTTAGATTCAAGCTCCACTAACTCACATAAAAAAAGAAAACTGAAAAGGGTTTTACATACACATTTTCAGCACTGTGACTCACTCCATCCAGTTGCCTGCTCCACCTCAGGTGACATTTTCCTGAAGGTTGACTCATTTTCGGTCTGTTTCAAGGTCTAACTCAGTGTACTTGAGCCTTCTTTCAACCAAGATTACTCTGAAACTGAGGTTATGTTGTTACAGAAACATGATGTACGATGCAGTTTTTTTTGTTGTTGCTGTTTTTTCTCAATTGAGTAACTGTAGTTTAAAATATGTAATTCATATTGACTTTACTTTAAATTTCAAACAATTTACATGTTAACCATTAATCCTGTATGTATAGTTTACAAATAATAACAATTTATTTTACAGAAACACAAACTCAATATAGTTCATAAATGGCACACACTCACTCAATTTAAACAGCGGACACATACCGTACATATTTAACAAAACAACTATCTCTTTTTAGGGATAGTAAGTGATACTATGTAGTGCCTAAACAAAAAGCAGCTCAACACATAGAGCGGAATACCCTTATTTCCACAATCAATCTAAAATACTGTGTGTGACTATAAGCTATACACAGTATATACTTTAAAATATATGTATAAAATATACACCAACTGGTGGAGCGCTATATAAATATAATATAGTGGAGGGGTCCACTTACCCCATTAATGCAATAACACACTTGGGAATATGCACTTGGAGACACATATAAAGAGAAAAAGAACACTATATATTTCAGTTTTTTTCTGTTTATATGTGTCTCCAAGTGCATATTCCCAAGTGTGTTATTGCATTAATTGGGTAAGTGGACCCCTCCACTATATTATATTTATATAGCGCTCCACCAGTTGGTGTATATTTTAAAGTACATACCGTATATAGTTTATAGTCACACACAGTCACAAAATGCAATTTGTAAGCAATGGGATTGATTCACTTAACGCATAATTATAGCAAACTGCAATCTGAATTGCAGGCTAAATTGTGAATATAAAAATAAACAAAAAAAATAAACAATGTGTGCTTTTCCCCAAAGTTATACTGAAATAAAGCACCTGCAGCACTCGTGGACACCCTACGCAGCAAAGCAACACACGCTTTATAATCTAATTGTATAGTAACCAATACCAAACAAGGTGCAAGTGGAGCACTAAATAATTTAGTTGACTTACACCTATTTTACTTGAGGTTTCATATGTGATATGTAAAATGGAAAACATAAACAATAGTGTAACACTATTATATCATCATATTACATATATGATATGTAGTGATGTCCCGAACGGTTCGCCGCGGACTCATCATTGAGTAAACTTTGACCCTGTACCTCACATTCATTGTGAAGCTGCATTCTTAGTGAGCTGTCCAGGAGGTGGGAGGGTCTGGGAGGGAGGGTCTGCTGCTGATTGGCTGGAATGTGTCTGCTGACTGTGAGGTACAGGGTCAAAGTTTACTCAATGATGAGTCCGTGGCGAACCGTTCGGCGAACCGTTCAGGACATCACTAATGATATGTAAAGTGAAAAACATAAACAATAGTGTAATACATAGTTACATAGCTGAAAAGAGACTTGCGTCCATCAAGTTCAGCCTACCTCACATTTGTTTTTTGCTGTTGATCCAAAAGAAGGCAAAAAAACCCAGTTTGAAGCACAATTTTGTAACAAGCTAGGAAAAAAAATCCTTCTTGACCCCAGAATGGCAGTCAGATTTATCCTTGGATCAAGCAGTTATTACCCTACATTGAAAGATTATATCCTTGAATATTCTGTTCTTACAAGTATGCATCTAGTAGCCGTTTGAACATCTGTATGGACTCTGATAAAACCACTTCCTCAGGCAGAGAATTCCACATCCTGATTGTTCTTACAGTAAAAAAAACCTTTCCTTTGCCTTAGACGAAATCTTCTATACTACTATAATACTATAAATACTACTATATCATATCATGTTACATATGATATGTAAAATAAAAAACATAAACAATAGTGTAAAGTGCAATGAAATTTTTAAGTGCAAATTCTGCAGCAAGCTATTCAGCTTACATTTGAAGAAACCTAAATAAACTGTCTCTGATCTTAAGGGCCTCTGCGCTTTTAAGGTGACACACCACCTTTTTGCTCAGGTCTCTCAGCGTAATGGCCAGACTAGTGTAGTATTTGAGGAAATGGCAGAGTGCAGAGTAGAACACATAGCTTATAATAAGAATTGACAAGAATTTTAAACCAAATAGATGTGTTTCAATTAGTGTATTCTGGATTTAAATTTAAAATTCAACTTGAATTCTTGACATTGCACGCAAAACTGATTAACCCTGATTAAAATTCTTATATTTCAGAATGTGATGATGGGGGATCAGAAGGTAGCCCAAGTTTGCCAGTTTCGCCACAGATTAAGGAACTTCGATCAAGGAATGGAAAGGGGCAAGAGGAAAGCAATTGAGAAGATCCCAATGCCAGAATTCTGCAGACTCTAGGTGATAATTGTCATAATAAACAGCAAATTCATCAAAATGACCTCTAGAATGTGAAACTCCACTTCATTAACCCCTTAAGGACACATGACATGTGTGACATGTCATGATTCCCTTTTATTCCAGAAGTTTGGTCCTTAAGGGGTTAATGAGGAATTACAGAAAAAAGCTACAACAGAAATTCACTTATAGTCTTGAGTGCCAGACATAGTTTTATAAAGGGTGTGACACAAAGCTGTATTCCTACTCTGCCCCCCACTTCACTTGCACTTTTCCCCAGCAGTTAAAGGGTTAAAAAAACATTACTCACTTATCTTATTCCAGAGCTGAGGTCTCTAGGCGCTGGCTCCATCTACGACTCCTTCGACATCAGTGCTGAACCTAATGTGCATGCAAGGTGAGCGCTGTGCAAGCGTTAAGCCTTCAACATAGGGATGCATTAAATTAATGCTTTACTATGGGGTTTTCCTTGACACTGTAGTGTTCTTTTACGTAGTCAGATTCCATGAACAAGCAGGAAGCTGTTTCACAGCAACTAGATGCAGTCTTAGCATTGCAATGTAAAAATTGCAGATTCTCAAAAAAAAAATGCAAATGGAGAGGACAAGAAAACTGCAGCCAGACATAAGTGCCTATTCATACATCTTACATAATAACTGTCCATGGGAGATTGCGTAAAGCAGTTTCATTCACATATTTTTATAAATTAAACTCCTGTGGAAATTCAAACTGCATATCTTAAACCATGCTTGCCATTAGCTAATTTCTTTGTCCATTAAAATAATGGATAGGGGAACCCTGGTTAAGAGACACTAATCCGGGGACTTTTCATCAAATGTAGGCACTTTACAGGTAAGGGTTAGTTTATAGATAGAATGTAATTTTCATGCAAAAAGTAATGCATTAAAGGGTCACTGTAGTCACCAAAACAACTTCAGTTAAATTAAGCAGTTTTGGTGTATACAGTGAGGAAAAAAAGTATTTGATCCTCTGTGATTTTGAACATTTGCCCACTGACAAAGAAATGATCAGTCTATAATTTTAATGGTAGGTGTATTTTAACAGTGAGAGACAGAATAACAAAAAAAAATCCAGAAAAACGCATTTCAAAAAAGTTATAAATTGATTTGCATGTCAATGAGTGCAATACTTATTTGACCCCTTTGACTTAGTACTTGGTGGCAAAACCCCTGTTGGCAATCACAGAGGTCAGACATTTCTTGTAGTTGACCACCAAGTTTGCACACATCTCAGGAGGGATTTTGTACCACTCCTCTTTGCAGATCCTCTCCAAGTCATTATGGTTTCAAGGCATTATGCCATTTTCAATGAGCTTGCTGAGGGAAGCAGGATCTCACATGGTCCCGTCCATCGTCCCTTTGATGCAGTGCAATTGTCCTGTCTCCTTAGTAGAAAAACACCCCCAAAGCATAATGTTTCCACCTCATGTTTGACGGTGGTGATGGTGTTCTTGAGGTCATAGGCAGCATTCCTCCTCCTCCAAACATGGCGAGTTGATGTCAAAGAGCTTGATTTTGGTCTCATCTGACCACAACACTTTCACCCAGTTCTCCTCTGAATTAAGATGTTCACTGGCAAACTTCAGACAGGCCTGTACATGTGCTTCCTTGAGCAGGGGGAACTCGCGGGCGCTGCAGGATTTCAGTCCTTCACGACATAGTGTTACCAATTGTTTTCTTGGTGACTATGGTCACAGCTGCCTGTACTATGGTGCCAGCTGCCCAGCTGCATTAACAAGATCCTTCCGTGTAGTTCTGGGCTGATTCCTCACCATTCTCATGCTCATTGAAACTCCACAAGGTGAGATCTTGAATGGAGCACCAGACCGAGGGAGATTGACAGTTATTTTGTGTTTCTTCCATTTGCGAATAATCGCACCAACTGTTGTCACCTTCTCACCAAGCTGCTTGGCGATGGTCTTGTAGCCCATTCCAGTCTTGTGTGGGTCTACATTCTATGGACAGCTCTCTGGTCTTGGCCATGGTGGGGAGTTTGAAATTTGATGGATTGACTGCTTCTGTGGACAGGTCTCTTTTATACAGGTAATGAGCTGAGATTAAGAGCACTCCCTTTAAGAGCATTCCCTCAGCTCGTTACCGGTATAAAAGACACATGGGAGACAGAAATCTTGCTGATTGATAGGGGATCAAATACTTATTTCACTCATTGACATGCAAATCAATTTATAACTTTTTTTGACTTTTTGTTTGTCTGTTTTTATTTTTTTTTGCTCTTCTTTCTCACACTGTTAAAATACACCTACCATTAACATTATAGACTGATCATTTCTTTGTCAGTTGGCAAACATTCAAAATCAGCAGGGGAGCAAATACTTTTTTTCCCTCACTGTAGATCATGCCCCTGCAGTCTAATTGCTCAATTCCCTGCCATTTAGGAGTTAAATCACTTTTTTTATGCAGCCTTAGTCACACCTCCCTGCATGTGACTTACACATCTTTTCCAAACACTTAATGTAAAGTGTCCTCTAATGTTTATCCTTCCTTTATTGCATATTCTGTTTAATTTAGATTTTCTTATTTCCTGCTCTGTTAACAGCATACTAGACCCTGCAGGAGTCTCCTGTATATAATTAAAGTTCAATTTACAGAGCAGGAGATACAAACTTTTAAAATACCTTACATCTGATTGAAAATTAAACCATTTTGTTTCCATGCAGGCTGTGTGAGTCATAGCCAGGGGAGGTGTGGCTAGGGCTGCATAAAAAGAAGCAAAGTGGTTTAACTTCTAAATGGCAGTGAATTGAGCAGTGAAACTTCAGATGCATGATCTATACACAAACACTGCTTTATTAAAGGAACACTATAGTCACCTAAATTACTTTAGCTAAATTAAGCAGTTTTAGTGTATAGATCATTCCCCTGCAATTGCACTGCTCAATTCACTGTCATTTAGGAGTTAAATCCCTTTGTTTCTGTTTATGCAGCCCTAGCCACACCTCCCCTGGCTATGATTGACAGAGCCTGCATGAAAAAAAAACTGGTTTCACTTTCAAACAGATGTAATTTACCTTAAATAATTGTATCTCAATCTCTAAATTTAACTTTAATCACATACAGGAGGCTCTTGCACGGTCTAGCAAGCTATTAACATAGCAGGGGATAAGAAAATCTTAATTAAACAGAACTTGCAATAAAGAAAGCCTAAGTAGGGCTCTCTTTACAGGAAGTGTTTGTGGAAGGCTGTGCAAGTCACATGCAGGGAGGTGTGACTAGGGTTCATAAACAAAGGGATTTAACTCCTAAATGGCAGAGGATTGAACAGTGAGTCTGCAGGGGCATGTTCTATACACCAAAACTGCTTCAGTAAGCTAAAGTTGTTCAGGTGACTATAGTGTCCCTTTAAGCTAAAGTTGATTTGGTGACTATAGTGTTCCTTTAAAAATGGGATGAACGTAAGCCTTGATTAGCTCTTTAATGTCTACTGGGCTTCAGGGGAACAAGAGCCTAATTCTGCCAGGAGGCCAAAATTGTTGTTAGTCTTTTTCTGTTGATAGATCACTTATCAAAGAGAAAACATATTCATCAGAGATAAAACACATTTGGGCGAGTAATTTTTATGGTTTCTTTTCTTTTTTTTCAGATGGATTCCATGACCTTCTAGAGATCACGGCAGATTCTGTTTTGGCTATCTCTTGTATTTACAGAAAACTGATGGATTCCTCTACTGATATCTCCCAGGGATTGGTCAGCAAAGCAATAACCATGATCATGTTGTAATAGTCAGAATATTGACTATTCCTTGTAGACAATGAAAAGTCTGTTGATATGGACAAAATTATTACAGCTTTAATCTCTTTAATCTCTCTTAATATAAAGGAAGCCAGAAAATAACATCACAACATACTAAAAATCTATATAAAAATGCAAATGTTTATATTCTGCCTTGGAAAATAGACCATAGTGTGTCATTAGTTGGTAGCACCAGTTTAAACCCAATCTTCATGAAAATGTGTACATTCCAAAACTTGTCAGTGTTGAGCTTCTTAAAGGAGACTTGCCATGCTTATGGTGTATTGTGGTAATTTCCTGGCAAATTTATTGTTATATTGTTATTGTGTAGTCTCAGACCTTATATTAACTTCATCCCATTATTATGTCTGAGAAAGGACATTCCTACTGATAGCTTACATATGTGGCAGACCCAACAAAAATGACTGCTTTTAAATAAATACTATCCGTTTAAATAAAACAATAAACAAAAAGCTTAAATGATCACTATAGTGTCAGGAAAACAAACTCGTTTTTTTGACAGTATATAACCCTTAGCTCCCCCCCACCCTCCAGGGCCCCCCTTCAGCCACTTACCTTTAGCCAGCGCCGGGCTCCCTAGGCGCTGGTGACCTCTCCTCCCACTCCAACATCAGCTCCTGAGTGGAGCGGAATGCGCATGCGCGGCCAGAGTTGTGCACGCATTAAAAACGCCCATAGGAAAGCATTTCTCAATGCTTTCCTATGGACGTTCTGCATGCTGAATGCGATTTTCACATTCAGCATCGCAAACACGTCTCTAGCGGCTATCAGGAAGACAGCCACTAGAGGCCGGATTAACCCTGCAATGTAAACATAGCAGTTTCTTTGAAACTGCTATGTTTACATCTGAAGGGTTAAAACCTAGGGGACTTGGCACCCAGACCACTTCATTGAGATGGGTTACTATAGTGGTCCTTTAACCCCTTAAGGACCAAACTTCTGGAATAAAAGGGAATCATGACATTTTACACATGTCATGTGTCCTTAAGGGGTTAAGTCCATAGAACATTAATCAAGATAGACATGATCTTCTCTTTGGGCCCAAAAATATTTTACATGTTCTCTAAATAAATTACAATATTTTTAGATTTGAGGCTTGCAGATAGATCTTCTAAAACATTCTATATAGGTTTGTTTATGTGTGTCATCTAAGTATTAGTATTTCATATAGTAATGCACCTTATATCATAAAATATTTTAAAAATTCTCACATACTCTTTATAATTCTGAAATGTCTTGTCTCGTGTGCAGCCTGTTATCCTCGTTTCTGTGATACATTATTTATTGGTGCATATGGTCTTAAAGAACCACTTAACACAACACGTTCTACTATAGAACGTGATGTGTTCTGTATGTTGGACCATAACAAATGTATCAGGATATATATTTTACATTTATTTGATAGGGACAGAATTGAACTAAGCCTTTAGGAAGTGTGTAGGGAGGCTGCGATGTTCATAGCCAAAGGAGTGTGGCTTTTGAGGTTGTTTAACTTTTAAACTGTACAGTATTGAGCAGTGAGATTGTAGGGGCATGATTTATGCACTAAAACTACTAAATGAAGCTGCCGTGGTATTGGTATTTATATTAACCCTTAAAGGTTTGAGGGACTTAGGGTTAATTTTACAAATTAAGTGAGTTAATGCTCCAGGATCCAAAACCCTAATTCTTCCTTTACCTTAAAGCACCTAACCGCAAGCTTGCCCTAACCTGAAATGCCACCTAAGTCTCCTTAACCCTAACTATCCCTAAATCGACTGCATGGGATACATTTCAGTCATTATAAACTAATGTATAATTATATGGAAAAATTAAGGTGAAAAAGGTACATTTAAAAAAAAAACCCTGCAAAAACTCCCTAAAAACTGATTTCTCTGCACAGTGGTAACAATAATAGTCAACACCCAACAGGCGTGTGCTTTAAACAATAAATCCGAGAATATTTATCTTTAAAGGGACTCTATAGTCACCAGAATGGTTGGTGTTCACTATAGGATCAGGAATACATGTTTGTGTTCCTGACCCTATAGTGATCCTTTAAGATACACTATCTTCCAATAAGTGAAAACATATGTAAAAAAAAAATTATAATACACCATATAGTGCTACTCAGATGTGGTAATGTTGGTGTAAACAACATACAATACTGATAATTCTATTTTGGATCAATAGCTACAAGGAATTTAATTATACAATATAATGTTACTATATCTTTAAGAGGTGCTGTTGAAAACAATATGATACGTTGAAAACCTATAAGTGACAGATAAAGCTGACAGACATGTGAGTAAAATGTGTATATTTAGCAAGAGACAGAAATTGGCAACAGAGAAAGGTATGAAAATAGTCTGGAATGTTGGCACCTTCCTTTTTGAGTTGGCAGTTATAATGACTGCAAGGTATGGAACACCAAGGTGAACCAAAACATTAACCGGCTGATTTTGGCTGTGTGTGCATATATCAGAGCCGAGTGTAGCGTCTGATGTCACCTGTTTCTTCGATCATTTACAAGATTATTTTGATACCTTTCCCTCTTGCCAATTTCTATCCTAGATAAGGGATATTACAGCACTGTATTATTATCCCATAGCGAGTGGGCACTAGGAACTCTTACGAAAATGTCTATGGTTTTAAGGAAAAGGAGAGATCAAATTAGTTTTTTTTACTATTTGCCAGCAGTATCAAAGTGTATTGTGTTGTGAGAGTGAGTAAACAAAGTTATTTAACAGCACATTTCATTAATACAAAGACATTCATAACTGCAGAAATCCTGCTTTTAATTTCAGAGTAAAATAATGGAACACTTCAATGCAAAAAAAATAAAAAATTAGTATTTTTATTTAGTAAATATAACCACAAGAAAGCATACATTTATTTCTGCAATTTTTCTTTGGGGGAGGTTTGTTTGCAGTCTCTGCAATCCCTTCTATCTTTAACTTATGACAGAGTTTCAGTCTGTCCTGGGAAATACTCCAATCAGAGGCTTTAGTACAGCTCACTGAAAAGGGGAGAAGGTAGTTAACTGCTAGCACAGCAAGTTGCTACTTCCATTAGCTCTGCGGAGTGTCCCATTAGACTGCCACTAGTGACTGTCTTCCAGACAGTCAGTAGAGGTACTTCCTGGCCGTTCACAAAGTTTAACTCAGTAAAAAAAACAGTGGATGTCCTCACGCTTTGCATGAAGAAATCCCACCATCTTGAAAATCACCATAGGGAAGCATTGATTCAATGCTTTTTTTATGGGGAATCCCTTTACTGAGAGGGTAGTGGATGCATGGAATAGCCTTCCAGCTGAAGTGGTAGAGGTTAACACAGTAAAGGAGTTTAAGCATGCGTGGGATAGGCATAAGGCTATCCTAACTATAAGATAAGACTAGGGACTAATGAAAGTATTTAGAAAATTGGGCAGAAAAGATGGGCCGAATGGTTCTTATCTGCTGTCACATTCTATGTTTCTATGTTTCTATTTTGCACCTGTCCCAGTGGCCAATTCTTGCAGCAAAGAAAGGGCTAAAAACACCTTTCATTCACGTACCTTATTACAGCATTAAAGTCCTTTGGCCCTGGCTCCGTCACCGCCTCCTCTAAAATCAGCACAGAGGAACTTATCCTGGAATAAGGTAAGTGATTTCAAGTTTTTTTTTAACCCTTTAATTGCTGCAAGAGAGGGTTGCAGGACATTATAGTGTTTGGTTTACAAAGCTGTATTCCTAACAGTATAGTGTTTCTTTAACGGAAGCATAAAAAAACTTATCTGGCTGATTTCTAGACCCCCCAATTTATAAAAATACACCATTTCTATTGAAATTAGTACTTTTCTAAACTGTTGTGAATGTGACAGGCTCCAGACAAACAAAGCACTTCAGCTTCAGAAAGATTTGTATGTGTGGAGTTGGTTCTTTAAATACGGACATACTGATCTTGACTGCAGAGTAAAACTGATATGCTTATAAAAGTTTGGTGTAAGTAGACTATTCTAAAAAAAAATTAATCATGGCGGAGACTGGCTAAACTTGTTCTATTCTCTTGTCTGTATTTGTAAATATCTGTGAGTACTCACTTGTTAAAAATAAATATATGCTTAACATTATGTTTGACAATAGAAAGCTTTTTCAATTATTTGGATTTATTTCGATAACATCAATAATGCATCATTAAATAATTGACTAGCTACATAGAATGTCTTCTCTGTGCCTAATTTTGTCTGTAGACGTATACAGGGTATTAAAAAAAAATATATATATATCCCTTTAACACGCTGAAATGTTTGACTATGTATCAATATTCACAGTATCTGTCTTGTTAAATGTAACTGTAGAAAACCATAGACCATTATTAAATGTATCTAGGAAAAACACGTCTTGTACTGTGTCACATACCAGAGGAGCTCACTGGTGATTGGTAGCAAATGTAGTTCTGTGTGTATTCTGTTCACAACTTATAGTATTAGCATTTTATTTTGTTGTACAGTAGATTATTTATTTTGTTATTTGAATCAATAAAGGTTTTTTTTACGGCTCACTTCCTGTGGTACATATTTTCTTACATTAAAGCAGCAGTGTCAATTTTCAGGTCTTGTTTTTAAATGAATCCTTATTTGTCTCATTCTTCCCCCTTGTTTTAATTTTATTGAACTTCATCTATACATAAGAAAGAGTAGGGTCTACATTGGGTGGACCTAAAGGACAACTCTCATCAAATTTTCACATCTAGTTTTCTAAAGGTTTTATAACATTTAATGAAACTTAATTATATATATTTTTAATTGAACTATTTAAAAAAATATTTCACTTTGCATCTGGCTGAGCAGTCATGTTATGTCAGCCTTTACTGTTATCTGACCAAGTACAGCACAACCTAACTTGCTGTGATTGCTCTGTATGAACCTGCATGAGCAGGCAAGTTTGGTTGAGCAGCACTTGGTCAGATAACAGAGTTTTACTTAACATGGCTGCCCAGCCAGATAAAAAAAAGTAAAATTATCTAAAAAAAAAAAAAAAATCAATATACATAATTTTAACAAAATATATACTTATGTTTAAAAAATGCTATAAACGTTAAAAAAATAAACTAAAAAGTGTCTATTTGATGACAGTTGTATTGTTGGTAAATGTGCTTAGCAACTGAAATAGATTTGCTTAGAAGACATCAGTCAAAAGAATCCCAAAGAAGAACAAATTGCAGACATCATGAACAGAGCGAAACAAAATGGCGGTTCCCGAAAGAATGACATGTGGCACGTCTCTGATAAACACACCAAGAAAGGTCAGCTCCTGAGGATTCCCAGGTATATACAAGATGGTTTAAGCACTGCATTTGATTAAGAAGGCAAATGCAGCTATAGGGCTCATTATGATTATTGAAAAAAACTAAACTATAAAGTACACAAAGAATTCTTCGAAGACAGTACAATATTGAAAATAACTGACAATCCCCAAAGGACTTAAAACAAAAACTATTCATAAACATTAATGTTAGAGAATATATGAGCACATAAAAGAAACAAGAGAATCATTCGGTGCTGAGCAGGTGTTGTTACACCTTAGCCCATTTCAAAATACAAAAAGTCTATATTAAGGCACCTTTTCAATGCTGCAAAATACCTTGTACCTGCCTTCAGGAAACAAGTGGAAACTCCCACGAGGGAGCAATGGTTGCTTAGAGTTGAAAAAATACAGGCAGCGGAGGCATTGCAAGCATCTTTTCTACACATGCTGAAAGATGGCAACCCTGTTTTGATGTTTATGGCTAACGGGGAAGGGCATGCTTCTGTGGGGGAGGGGAGGCGGGGATCAATTGATGCAGATGAAGGTTACGGGCTGGGGGTTGTTAAATTCCATCTTTATAATATCGTAAAGTGCTGCGGAATAAGTTAGCATTAAGTAAATGCCAATAAAGTATGCCTTACCTTACCATAGCTTAAGGGAGAAGTTGGAACACCATAACCATACCTGAAGGTTATGGGGTACATTTTTACATGTTGCAATATTCTTGTTGATAATGCACAACCTCTTGTTTTTCCAATCTTTGTGAAATGGAACACCTTGTCTGAATTATATTTTGGAAATGAGATACACTGTCAACAATAGGAAAATGCAGCACATGCACTTAGGAGAGTCACTTCTTGCACCATGAGTATAGAAACCTCAAAAATATATACTGTTCCAATAGTACCAGGTTCCAGACAAGATAGCTAACTCACTCCTATCTGATGTACAAAATGTAATGAGAAATATTTTGGTCATGAAATGTCTTTTCTCTCTTTTGATATGAATCATTCTCATTAACCAGTAAGATTACTTGCTCATAAAAATTCTCTTAATTGAATTATCCCTTCTTGATATCTACCATCACCCAGAACTCCTTAATGGGTAAAATTTTAAACCTTGTTTCTACCAGTGGCTATGTTCCTGATTTTACAAAGCCTGAAATGACTCAAACCCCACCAGCTATGCTGTCTCTTTCATCCACCATCGACCTTATTTAGTTCAGTGGAAATAGCTGGTAGACTAGATACTGGTACATACACATTGCCTATGGAAATTATCTCCCATTGGATGTATTATAGAAAACACCATCTCCCTTATTAGAACAACACTACCTCTTGTTTACCACTTTCTATTCTTCATCTCCTTTCGTATGATTACCGCTTTTGTGTTGTTCATTTCTTCACTTTTTATGCCAAGTCAGGCTCTTACTTCACATATGATGCATATCTCTTTTGTCTGCAAATCGTCTCAAATATTTTGAAACTTTACAAATAATTGTAGTTAATGAAGTGGTAGCCCAACAATGGTCCAAATGAAGTCAGTGGGATCAGATAAGGGGGCAACCCTGGGGTAGATAATAGTAAAGAGAACGAAAGGTAATCTGTCCCAATGCAATTTACCTTTTTACCGATTATTGCATTGGGACAGATTACCTTTCGTTCTCTTTACTTTAATAATTGTAATGTTATGCTTCTCCAAAAATTCTAAATCATAAATAAAACACCAGTATTTAGTGTTCCATTTAGTGTTCCAAAAATGAAGATTCATTCTCACCAAGAGATTGGCATAATATCTCCGAAGTACATTTGCAGAAACTGACAATGCAAATGCATAGTATGAACGATGATATTTCCATCTCTGAATAGGTAAAGGAAATGTTTGGGTGAAGGACCACAGAATATATCAGAAGCTGGTCCTCTAAATGGAGTTTGCTGGCAGTTTGTACCTGTTTAAAAGTCATAATTGTGGTCTCTTCTATAGACTTCAAAAGTTTCAAGTAACAGGAAAAGTCCACAGCTGGATCAGCCATGCCCAAAATGTACTTGGTGTACATAATTCTGAGTCAGTTACCCCATTGTTATTTTACAATACAATGGCATTTGTGATTAGAATCTCTTATGAATAAGAAACTTTAGGCATCTCAAATACACAGGATAAAAATAAAGTATTTACGTATGCATCTCAGTGGGTAATACAACATTTATCTCTATACGAGTTGAGCAAAAATGATTTCTTAGCTTAAGATTTTGTTCTTAAATATATGAGTTAAAATAAACGCCACTATCAACAAACGTAATTTTAATAATTGGTATATACATTCAAAATCACATTTTAGTTTTGTGATTTTTTTTATTTTTATTTATTATTTATGAACACCTTTATGACAGAAGACATGCTATAACCTTTATGGTACTATTGAAGTTGCCTAACCACTTGTTTTGAAGACGTTAACGAAGAACTTTGCTAATCATAAAACACACTCCGCTAAATCACATATTTGGGAAACAAACACATTTAGGGCGTCAGGAGTAGTAGTTAATGGGCAGATAATATCAATGCTACACTTAGACACATGCAATAATCTTTGAACCAGCAGTTATTTTGTTTTCTTATAGATCTGTTAAAGTATCAGAATATGGATATGTCTATGAATATAAAAGTCTCAACGTCCATCTGTTTAAATGTGCACCTGTCCGACTTTCCCTTTATGTATGCATATATAATACCAAACATTTATTTATACAAACCGCTTCCTATACTTAGAACTAAAACATGTTCAGTTTAATTCTTGCTGCAAAGCTACATAATGAAATCTATTTTTGCACTACAACATTAATATGATGATCACATAAAGTTGATACTACCCATCATCAATGTATAAAAAGTATGTTTTTTTTTTGGGGGGGGGAGAGATTAAACGATACACTGAAGTTGAATTTCCAAATACAAAATTATTTACTTGCAGTTGATTTGTGGCCATTGAAGGGCTGCACTATTTGTCCTTCGAACACCTCCTATCTAAAGAATTTTTCTGTTGGTGGGTCTGCCCACATTGAAATGTTAAAGGTCAAACCTACTGTCATCTACAGAGAAAGCCGGGGCATGAAATGTAGCCCATTCTATTCCAGAAAACCTTAAAACAGCAACAAACACAATCCATGTGGGTTCAGAATCCATTCTGACACACTCCTTAAACAAACCTTTTTACTACTGAATCCATTTATTGTTGTTCCGTAGAATCCTTTTTCTGAGGAAAAAATAACTGAACAAATAAATGTATGCGAAGGCACTTCGCTCATCCATAGGAATTACCTTCATAATTTAAGGAAAATTTTTTGTGGTTTTTAGATGGCCTCCACATTAATAGCAATAGACTAATATGACCAACATGGGGAGGCCTACTACAAGACTTGAACCTCCACTATATTTCTTCCAGCGTTTTGGTGTCTTTCTCACATTGTTTCACTGTTGCAGTTTCAGATATGAATAAATGATGCGATTTCTGTACAGTATAGAATATAGACGGACTTTAAAAAAAATAGAAAAATTATATATATATATATATATATTGTCAAGTAAGCTATTACTCATATGAAATATATAGTCATTAGCTTGACTGGATGAAGGTATTCCACTTAAGCAGTGCTCAAGTCCAGCAATATAGAGAATGAACCTTTTGTAGATGGGAAAAGGGTCACAAGTTTAATGACGAGATATCCGTGGTGTCGCCCCATCCCATTTTGGTATTGCAATCCAAAATGTCTTCGAGATCACTTATTTCATCCATGTATGACCTGGTAATAATGCACAGAGAATAGAAAAATGTTAAGAAGCTAATTATACAGGAAATGTAAACATACTATTTGTCCACTTAGTTAATAGTGAATTGTAAGAAACTAAAAACAGAATTTGAAAAATGTAGACAAAAGACGCTCACTCCCTCACTGTTAGAACTAACCAGTTAAAAAGTTAGTTGTTGAATGTGCTAAATGGTTTTTTCTTTCTTTATATTTTAACGCATACTTTGCCAGACAAATTATTATCAGTTCTGTTATTAAGAACTGTATTTAAATTGCTTGTTACCATTGGTAGCCAGACTCAATTAAACCATATGGAGTCAAAACATTGCTGGGTCCACTATTTAAAAAAAAAACAAAAAAACAAACAAACCTCTCTTGTAGTCACTGGTGTTGGGTGTCTGTTATAATTGCTACTATTTTAATAATACATTATAAATACAGTATAATTTTGGTATATTTTCTGCAAACCAAAATGTGGTGAAGATTTACTATTTTTCTTTATAAAAGGAACTTTATAGACACACAGTCTGCTTCCTATAAATTAAATGTCTGGGTGCCATGCCTGTGCCCTTTTAAACCTGCAACTGAAAAACAATATTTTTATTGCTGGATTGATATGCCTCTAGTGGCTGCTAAGAAGACAGTTACTCCAGGCACTTCCATAGCTATAGCAAAGTTAAACTCTGTTATAGACCAAATTATTCTAATAGAGAGCATTTGTATGGCACAGCGCAGTGTTTTGCCCTGCATGTTCACTAGCCTCCAAATGCTTATCTATGGGGAAACACTGGATTGGCTGAGGTCAGTGTGACTAATAATCTTAGCCAGGGAGATTCTAACAGAGAGCATTTGTTTGTCACAGTGCAGTGTTTTGCCCTGCATGTTCACTAGCCTCCAAATGCTTATCTATGGGGAACCACTGGATTGGCTGAGGTCATTGTGACTAATAATCTTAGCCAGGGAGATTCTAATAGAGAGCATTTGTTTGGCACAGCGCAGTGTTTTGCCCTGCATGTTCACTAGCCTCTAAATGCTTATCTATGGGGAACCACTGGATTGGCTGAGGTCATTGTGACTAATAATCTTAGCCAGGGAGACAGAGAGGCAGGACATTGACCAGCGCATCGCGTGATATAAGGAAAGCAAATCTTACTTTAAGGGGGAACCCTACACAAGTAGGGGAAAACTATAGCATTAGTAATACATCTTTTATTCCAAATGCTATAGTGTTCCGTTAATGCAGGACTAATTCCTATACAGTGTGTTTTGGTAATTAAAGTAGTCAGGTCTGCAATTAAAAAATAATTATAAAATATGCAATAATATCACTTTGGAAGAGATCACACAACACACACACTATATTTTTAAGTCTGAAACAAAAGTCAATGCAAAGTCAGTGCAAATACACCTTGAGTTTTACAGTCACTACGTTTAACCCTTAGATAAAAGTATAGGACAAAAAGCTTCTGAAAAATTGCATTGTTGTAAATGTTTGTACTACATTATGGCAAAATAAAAGTAAAATCTTTATACTACTCCATATTTGCCTATGAAAAGTTGACACTCAAATGCTAAGGTGAAACTATGTGTATTATGGTCTATTTTGGGATGTTTAAAAATAAAACAAAATGTATTGAACTTTCTTCCGATGCTGTTTCA